TTCAGCCTCCCTTCTCACTCTTCCCTAGATCTTCTTTGACCAGTAAGTGACCACACCTCAACGATGGTGAAACAGCCACTGTCACCGAGTTGTCTCATGAGTCATCCTGTGAACATGGGCTTTAGGACACATGGGTAAAGGCATATACATTAATATAGCCATGTGTGTATTCTAGCAAGGAAAACAGTCATTTCAACACAAGGAAATACTGACCTATGTTGCAGAAGGACTAAGAGAAAAGGTTCTTAGTCTCTGTAAGTAGACCCTAAGTGACATAGGGACCATGTATTCAGCAAACATCTGAGCAATTCTGGTGAGCCAGCACTGGCTGTATGCACAGTGAGCCAGGTGGCGTGACTCAGTGACACTTGATGTGTGGGCATGCTGGCTTCTCTCCCTTTCATTCCTCAAGATCTAGTGGTGAACAGGGACTGGGTACTGTACTGTCACAGGTTTTTAGGAACTGAGGTGTTCCTCAAAAACACAAAACATTGGGGGAAACTGGGAATAATTTACTGGAAAGCTAATTTATTTGTCTAAAGGAAGGAGTAGGAGTCAATACCCTCTTTCATCTGCCAAGGATTTCCTGTCAGAGCTGCTGCACAAAAAGAGCTTTTATTTGGCAGGACACCAAACAACAGATATACACCCAAATTTCTAATGTTCTGTGGGTTTCAATTCTGGAAAAAAATAAAGATTTTAATACATACTGAAGTGTCATCTTTTCCTGTTAATCTTTTCTCTCCCTTTCAGGATTTCCCCACCCAATTTCCTGTCTCCTACCTGTCTCGAAAACAACAGATTGCATCTTTTGCCCCCACTTAAAATTCCACAAGGGTTGCTTCACAATACCCAGGGGATAAGACCATTACTTTACCTTGCTGATCTTCAGACGGTCCACACCAGGCTGTAACTAGTGAAGTTTCCCATAGGACCATTCTTTGGTTCTTCTTGTATATTTAGTAATTAACTCCAATCCTGCAGCTTCTTAGAGATAAGGAATTATGGTCAGCATAGTGTGCCATATAGGCAGGAACAAAGGCCAGTTGCCCTGGTTAGAATTCTTAGAACACCACATCTTTAACTTTTGATATGGAAATCCAGCCATAAGCTCAAGCAGACAACTCAGCAGAGTCTTAAGATTTGTTCTTGATTTGTAGCGTGTTGAACCAATTCTTGTGCTTTGGACTGGAGTACATGTGGAGGCAGAAGCCTGGTCTGTGTTCTTCACTGACTCATCACGTACAAGTCCTTTTGCAGGCTGGATTTCAGAAGTCATTTGCTTCTCAAGTATATCAGACCGACTGGTATTAGGCATCTGGGAGTAAAAGAAAAGGTTGTTACTGGGTAACTTTACCCAGTGCACTTACCTGTAAATGTGATTTCTAAACTGACCTCATTTTACAAGATAGACAGGGATGGTTAGAACCACTTGTTTTTCTGCAGATGAGGTTTTGTAAGGTAAGTTACAGAATAAGCCCCAGGGAATGACAGTGTTAAATCACAGTTGGTGAGGTGTTTGGGCACTGTGACACAAGAAGACCGTGACTATCCCCTCAGAGCCTCTAGTCTAGTTCCAGGAGAAGAGAACTTGTAAGGCCCCGAATGTCTCTGGAATAATTCAAATTAATTGCTTTGGAAACAAGGAGCAGGGAAGAAACATGGAGGACTGGGTTGGGGTAGGTGGCACCTGACTGAAGGGGGAATTGGGCCAGATTTGACACGTGATGTGTATAGAAACCATGACTCTGGAACTGCACAGCTGTGTGCTTAGAACACAGCTGGGCCTCCGGTGCCAGGGTCACCTTCATCAGAGAACATGGGTTTGCCTTGTCTCTTCAAAGGACAGTTTAGGACCTCTGTGATACATCAGTGGCCTGTGGCATATCATAGATGTTAAAGGAACCCAAGGGCATACAGATGGCTGTAAAGTGTTCATTTTTTTGTTGTCTTAGTTTTTTTTTAATTTTTTTTTTTTTAACTTAGAGCTTTGTATTCAGCGATTGTTTTCAAGGCAGATGGTTCTGACTTCAGTGGGGCTGGGAAAGATGATGCTTGGCGAGGTCCAATTCCATGACCTCAGTAAAGGTGCTGTGCGCATTTCCTCTTAGACCTTGCTCAAATGCAGGTTTTGATTCAGTAGGTCTGGGGTGTGAGCATGTATTTCTGACAAGCTCCTAGGCAGTGCCCTGAATCCTTGGACCACATTGAGTAACACCTCCATGCTGAGCAATCATAGCTGCCTGTAGTTTCCACAACAGCCTCTAGATGTCCCTATGATCAAAGCTCTTAGTCCTGGAGTTGACAGCCACTACCTCCAAGCCCTAAGGATGAAATGTGAGTTTATCGAAATACTAAGAGACTTCCCTAAATCTGGTCTATGGGTATGCTGTTTCTGTGTGGAGCTGAGGCTGGTGAAAAAAGTTTGCCTTGACTTTTTTAGGAAATACTTCGAAATCAAGCTGGAGCAAGGACTTCCCAGCTATCAATTTATTTACTATGAATTACTAAGTCCAAAGGATGTCAGAAATTAGCAGTTAGCACTACCTGAAAAGTACAAGTTGAGATCATTCTTTACACATTCTTAGAACTTGGATTATTTTTGATAAACTCTTGTTATTAGCAATTTTTTTGTAGGGGGTTAGTGCTGGGGATTGAAGCCAGCATATACTAAGCAAGCACTCTACTACTGAGTTGTTATTAGTAATTTTAATCACTATAAATTCACCTATAAACACCAGTATTAACAAACCATTCAGTCTTCTTCCAGTAGACTATTTTATATATCATGACTGTAGAGGAAAATGAAAGTTAACGTGTAGTGCTTATGAAGCTTTTGTGGTACTGGTCTTTCAGCATCCCTATGAGGTGACTGTCTCATGATGAGGAAAGTAAGGAGGGCAGTTGGATAACCCCAAAGTCATCCAAATAGAAAATGGTAGTACCCACGCGGTTAATTCTGTGCCCAAATATTTGTTGAATGAGTTAATGTTTTCAGACTTCAAATAGGCATAGTAGTGTGTGTCAGCTTTCTATCACTGTAACAACTTAAAAGGAGAAGTTTTGTCCTGGCTTATGGTTATAGACATCCCAAGTCGTTGCTTATAGTCCTGGGGGGTAGGGGCACGTGGTGAAGCAAAACTGCTCACCCATAGCCGAGGCAAAAAAGAAAAAGCGGCGTGTCACAATCACCATCAGAGCATGCCGGCAGTGACCCAACAAGTTCCCACTAGGACCCTCCCCTTACAAGTTTCCACACCTCCAATAAGGCCATGCTGGAGAACTCACCTCTAACAAACATCTGGACCTTTGGGAGGCACTTGGGGCAAACCAGAGCATGGGTAATCCTCAAGTTTGATGCAAGTCATGCTGTACTGGTGCTGGGGCTGCTGCCACATCATTCCGAGTGACATGTAACATTACTTTTCAGCTTCACTCTCCTGGCATACTAACAAAGGCAGCAGTCTGGTTTCTCTGGCTGTTTGAAAGGAAGGACAAGTGTGATGACCTGCCAGCCCTGGCATGGAATGTGTTAAGAATGAGCACGCACACGAGGCCATTTGCCTGTGACATTTGTGAGGCGTAGTGCTGGGATTCCCCTTACATCTGGAGAGCCCTCTTAAAACCACTAAATATGTGACTAGCCAAGTCCTCTAGTCTTCTTGAAAGCAGCTTCCAGCTAGGGCAGGATGTGTTGAGCCATTGAATGATTTTGCAAAATGCATTAAGCTCTTCTGAAATCTAACAACCTCCTGTGTTCCTGGTTATGAAGAAGGGAGCCCGAAGGAAAGATGTGCCCAGGTATTTGCCAGTGGAGTCTGATGGCTGCTTATACTCCCAGGCATTTGAAAGCTGCTGCATTTTCATAAGATGTAATTTTCATGTGATATAATTACTGACAGGAGATGGCATGATTTCCCTGTGATTCAGGGGATTTCCAAATCCCAAATACCTCCAGACTGGAGTTCATAGCTTCCTCTTGTACTAGGTGGACTACAGCAGTGGAAACCTGCTGGTTGTTTGCTGCTCTGTTTCATTTCCCTCGGTGGAGGAGCCAGGGCTGGCTTGGCCAGACAGGCTCCCTTCTGCAGGAATCTCAGGCCTCTTCCCCACTCAGCTGACTCCCCCTGCCCACAAAATGCTCCTGGCTGGCATGGTTTTGAGGCAGGATCCTCTAAACCAGGATTTGAGGCAGGGAAACTATATTATTTTTTATAAATATTAAAAGAAGACCCAAACTTATATTGAAACCAGGAAGTAAAAACTTAAAAAATACTAGAGCAGCTAGCTTCCCTCCCATCACCTCCTTTTAGATGTTAAGTTACAAAACTAGGGAGACAAAGGAGCTGTCTGCATCTGCCTTCCCCTCTGAGATGTTAAGCTGCAAGACTCCTTGAGTGGGTAGAAAGATGGAAAAATGGAAAGGGATGTCCAGCAAAAGGAAGTGCTAACACACCTATTGTCCCTGTGTTTTGGGTAGGACTGGATCACATCCCAAGTTTTAGAGTACTAAACAGCACCCTTCCTGGCCACCCAGAACCATTGTCTAATGATTGGGGGTTGCTACACTATACTCCGCATATAGAACCCACAAAAGAGCCGCCATTTTTGAGCTTGTCTCTTACCCCTGCACTTCTATCTAGCAGGTGATGCTTTTTCCTCTTTTTAATTTTTTTCCCTTTTATCCTGCTATATTAAAATACATCCTTACTAAACCTTCCACCTTGTGAGAGTGTCCTTTGAATTCTTTTCATGATGGTGGATCTCAGTTACCTATGATTTGGGGTGGAAACTGGGCATCTGAGGGAACCCCCTCATTCAGTAATAGTTTCGCCAGCTTCCTTTATCAGGTTGGCAGGAAGTTGACCTCCAACAATGGGCAAGGCACGATTGGGTGTCTTTATTTGGTGGAACTTCAGACAGATCACCAGACCTGCCCAAAAGTAATAGATCGACAGTGGCCATCTTAAAACCTGATGTCACCTTCTTTGCCACCACAGTCACCCCCAGAAAAGACTGCTTCCTGGAAGCCTGTGGACAGGGCCACCATGCACACTGGGGACATCAGGCTGGGTTTCGGTTCCCCGCCCGGGTCACATGTCAGACGCGCCCTACCCGCGGATCGGTCGTCGTAGCGGCAACTCCAATCCCCGCCGGCCCCTGGATCCCGGAGCGGAAGCCGCGCGGTCTGCGGAGCGCAGGGTGGCCATGCCTGGCGGCCCGCGCGCGCCCCGGCTCGGCCTCCTCCTGCTGCTGCCGCTGCTGTTGCCGTCCCCAAGCGCGCCTGGACACCGCGCCGCCGCCGGGCCGAGGGAGCGGGCGGGCCGGCCGGGCTCCCCCGGGGCCTGGCCCGGCGTCCAGCGCCTGCGGGAGCAGCTGCGGGCGGCCGCTGCCCTCTCCAGGCGGTACTGGGCACTTGTCAGCTGCCAGGTGTGGCCCGAGCACTGCGAGGAAGACAGTGAGGAGGACGCGGGGACCCCGGGTAAGAGCGCACCCGCCGCCCCTGACTCGTACCTCCACACCCTCCCCTGGGGCAGCCCCTGGGTACAGCCAGGCCATCTTGCCCCTCCTCCCATGCTCCCCACTCCTCTGCTGTCCCCTAGCCCACCCGGACGTTGTCGGTCATGCTGCTCCTTTCCGCTTTCTTGATGACTTTGAGGGCAATCCTCTGTAGACAAAGCCGGTGACTGTCGCCTGGCCCCAAAGTACCTGCTGCCCCTCTGCTGCTGATGGAGGCGGTGCTGGACACGTGCAGGAGACAGAGCCTGCGCTGGGAGTTGGGACCTGAGTTGTGCTTCTGGTGCTTTCACTGACATTGTGTGCCCGGGCTGTCACATCCCTGGCATGGTTGAAAGAATCTTGTCCCTGTCTCACAGCTCTTCCTTTCCCAGGCTGGAGCTTTCCCCAGTGGTCCCTGGAGATGCTGAGCACGTGGTTCTGCAGCTTCCAGGACTGCTGCGAAGGTGGCCGGGACTGCAGGATCACCAATGACTTCCCAGGTGGGAGCAGGTGTGGTTGCAAGGGGCCAGCGCCTGTGGGGAAGGCCTGCAGGGAAATGGCTGGAGTGCAAGTGACCTTTTGTCATTCTGCCCAACCTCCCCCCAAGCAGGGATTGCCACAGGTGGAAGTCAGGTCTGCCCTTATTTGAGGATTTTGAGAAATAACACCCTCCAACAGTAGGAATGAGGTGACACCAGCTTTAATAGTGTCATTCATGGATGTTTGCATTCTTCCATTAGGAACAGAGGCCAAATCACTTCCATCCCCTGTGTGTGTAGGGGGGAGGGTGGATGTGGGGGGTGTGCTGGGGGGAGGAGCAGTTCGTGTTGCTGGGGATCTAACCCAGGACCTCACACCTGATAGATAAGCAGTCTGCCATTGAGCCTCACCCCCAGCCCTCCATCCTGTTTCTTGAAAGCACCAAGTTACTTAGATGTCAGGGAGCAAAACAAAAGACCCTTTTTACCTTTAGTTTTTTTTTCTTTTGTGATGGTGGGGACCCCTTTTACCTGTAGATTAATGCCTCAGAGATCATTGGGACCCATGGGAATGCTATGAACATGTCACAGCACACTGCCAGCTGTAGGACAGTCCCTGATTGTCACCTCTATCCCTGAAGGATTCCTCTGCTCATCTGTCACCTCACCATGCCATCCTGGACTGGGAGTGGGTCCAAGGAAGTATGATCAGCATTGAGCCCCTGTGCTAAGAGTTTTACAGGGACAGACTCAACCCAGAATAGCGTGTGACTCTTCAAGAGTCAGGCCCAGGACACCTTGTCTCTCTACACAGAACAGCAAACCAGTAACAGAACTAACTAGAAATTTGGGGTTGTGATTAAGTGTCCCACTCTAGCCAGACCTAGTAATACAGCTTGTAATCCCAGCACTTGGGACACTGAGGCAGAAGAATCGCCAGCTGGAGGTAAACCTGGGCTGTGTAGTGAGACCCTATTTCAAAAAAAAAAAAAAAAAAGCGTTCCTTTATAACTTTGAGCCAAATGTTTGGGGGATGGAACATGGGTTCCCTGGTTTCTCAGTGAGGATTCCCTGAGAAAAATAAGGTGGTTTTTTGTTTGTTTTTTTGGTGATATGGGACTTAAACTCAGGGCCTCACACTTGCTAGGCAAGTGTACCACCACTTGGGCCATTCTTCTGGTCCTTTTTGCTCTGGTTATTTTTGAGATAGAGTCTCACTTTATGCCCCAGATCAACCTGGCATCATCCTATTTATGCTTCCAGCAGTAGCTGGGATGACAGGTGTGCACCATCACACCCAGCTATTGGTTGCAGTGGGGTCTTGAGAACTTGTTGCCCAGCTGACCTCAAACACAATCCTCTAGATCTCCACCTCCTAAGTAGCTAGGATTGCAGGTTTGAGCCACTGATGACCACAAGAGGTTGTTTTTTATTATAAACGAATTTGTACTAACCATCACATGGAGAGAAAATGCTCTACCATATGCCCGTGAGTTCCTGCCCTCAATGAATCCCCACTAACAATCTCCCTTGGGTATTTTTAAAAAATTAGTTTCTGTGGCTTTATTTGCAGATTGCAGGTGTAATTTGCACTGAACTCTGGGAGGGTGTTCTTTAGCCTTAAGAACAGAACCTCGTCTGATTAAGGAACAGCAGTTTTGTGCTTTATGAAAGTTTCCTCTCTTTCCCCCAGACCAATTTCTTGCCCAGAATTCACTTGCTTCTGCCTAACTGAGGCCCACCAAGATATTTGGTCACTTAATGGAAAAAGTACCAGTGACACAGTGTGTGGGGACAGAATCTGGCACAGGACCATCTTGGACTCCACATAGCTCAGGAAGTCTGGGTTTGGATTTTGCTGGTTCAGGATAGGACCCAAGTAGGCAGTCAGCAAGTTACCGCTCTGCCCTTAACCTACCCCTGGTCACACCAGGGCCTGGATGTCCAAACCATTCTGTCTGGAGAACCAGAAGTGGCTGTGAAGGATTCCGAAGTCTCACCCTTCCCGGCTGCCAAACTTTAGGCAGTCCCTTTCAAATCTCAGTTTCCAATGCCTGGAAACTGGGCTGATTGGCCAGGCCTTACCCCAGCTGGCAGCACAGCCTCCCTCCCTCCAGATCCTGTAAGCTCTTGGCAGAGAGGAAACGGGCTTGGCTTAGGGAGGGCTTGCCCACAGCAGCCACTCTGCACAAGTGTGGGCTCAATTGAAATAGAATGAAAAATGGGCTTCTTGAACATTCAGGAAGACCTGAAACTAAGGGATAGGACACCTTGGGGTGTGGGCAGGTCCCTCCACCACACTGCTCTGTGCCACCCACTCTGGGGTGTGTTCAGAAAGGGCGATTCTGAAAACTCTTCAGAAAATACCCTTTGAGTCTCTTCTGTCTCAAGCTCTGCCCTCTGCTTCTTGTCCTGAGGCCACACAGGATGAATAACTGATCCCACCTCAGAGATGCTGGGCCACCCACTGGTGGGCACACGGCTGTGCGCCTCTCACTGTGGTTCTCTCCTGTCCCTAGGCTTAGAGTTGGACCTGAGTGTGCTGCTGCATGGCCAGCACCTGGCCCGCGAGCTGGTCCTAAAAGCAGTGAGGGGCTACTTACAGATGCCCCGGCCACACAAGGCGCTGGTTCTGTCATTCCACGGCTGGTCTGGCACAGGCAAGAACTTTGTGGCACAGATGCTGGCAGAGAACCTGTATCGGGACGGGCTGAGGAGCGACTGTGTCAAAATGTTTATCGCCATGTTCCACTTCCCACACTCCCAGTTTGTGGACCTGTACAAGGTGAGGCCGGGCGCTGCTGGGGAGCCTCGCCACCCCGCGGCTGGGGCCACAGTAAAGCAGACCCTTCTTGCAACCCTTCCTTGCAAGAAGGTGGGCTCTAGAGAGGCCGGGGGGGGGTGTGGAGGCCAGGCAGCTGCTGTGGCAGAACCTGTGACAGAGACCCCTACTCGGCCGTGGCACACAGGAGGGAAGACTGAGGCTCTCAACAGCCACAATGCCGATGGAATCGTGGGCTGGCTTTGTGTCACGGCAGTACTGAGGTGCCACAGGAAATGCGGGACAGAGACAAGCACGATTGTTACCGTACTCTCCCACCTGGGCACATCTGGGCAGAACATTCCTTTGCTGTTCCGCCACTCAGGAGACGTAGTATTTAAAACCAGTCAGCAGGTGAGCAAACTCTCACTTGCAGTAAGACAGAGCCCACTGCACCTTTGGCTTTCAGTTCTAGAATTCAGAAGACGGCCTCTGAAGGTGGAGGTTGCATAAGCTACTGGGCAGTTTCAGTGAGGCCTTGGAGGGCAAGGGCAGGGCGAGCTGTTCTGAAGCCCAGCTGTCCTAAGGTTTGTCCCAGGAAGAATAACCTGGCTTTGACTGTGGCCTCAGCTGTGAAAACTGATGTGTGCACACACTCACACCCTACACAACTCTGGTGAGTGGGGACTGAAGTCAGACTCCCAGGAGCTAGAGATGTCAGAGAATGCAAATTCTGTTGGAAGCTGTGCCCAGATCTGGTGAACACCACAGAGAAGCATCTGTTCAACTGAGGGTTCAGTCCTTCCTGGTGTGGGGAGCCGAGAACCACCCGCTAAGGGAGTCCCCAGGCAGGCCCTCAGCAGGCTTGCTCCCTTGGATCTCAGCTCAGTCTGGGTGCCTCTGCTCTTGGGAGGGCAAGGCAGGGGACTGTGGCTGCCTCTAGCTCTTGAGCCTGTCCTGCTTCAGTAACACAAGTCTGACTCCTGCCCCTGGGAGAGTGAGTTGGCAATAGTTCCCAGATGGGACCTACTCCTGGAGTGCAGAGAGCAAGGCTGGAACTGGGGCCTCTTCCCAAGGGCTTCTTCTAGGCCTTGCCCTCTACCCAGGCTAAGGCTGCCGCATGCCAGGTAAAGGAGAGTCACCTGGGAAGCTTGTTAACTAAGAGCCTACCCAGAGCCTTGGACTGGGTAGTTCTAGAGGGCGGAGCCCAGCTGATCCACTGCAGATGGCTGGGGAATGTGGTGTCCTCACCAGGTGGAACCATGCTGCCCAGGTCCCAGCAGCTGCTGTGTTCTGTGCAGGAGCAGCTGCTGAGCCAGATTCAGGAGATGCAGCAGCGCTGCCACCAGAGTTTGTTCATCTTAGACGAGGCCGAGAAGCTGCACCCAGAGCTGCTGGAGCTCCTTGGACCACACCTGGAGCGTCAGGCCCCTGAAGGCCACAAGGCTGAGGCTCCAAGATCCATCTTCCTCTTTCTCAGGTGAGGGCTGAGGAGCAGGCCCAGGAGGGCTGAGGGGAGGACAGTACCAGGCTTCTGTGCTCAGACAGGTGGCTGAACCTGGTGCTCAAGAGACTAACACAGGGCTGGTGGAGTGGCTCAAGTGGAGCAAGAGCGCCTGCCTAGCAAGCGTGAGGCCCTGAGTTCAAACCTCAGTACTGCCAAAAAAAAAAAAAAAAGGTACAGACTAACACAGACCCTGGCCCAGAAACAGAAGTTTTGCTGCCTGGAAGCCGGGCTGGGATACAGGTACCTGGAAGCCCCGATTCCCTAAGGGAGTGGGGCCCACAGCCTAGGCTGGTGGATTAATCTGCAGGGCACCTAGGGCAGCTTCCTCGCAGAGAGCCCCTTCTCAAGGGGAAGGTGTGCGTTGAGCTCTCAGCTCTTGCTATTAGGCATGCAAGGCCCCAGACAGAACTTAACCACTGGGCTGTGCTGCCCAGCTTTGTTCCACTGTGCACCCAGGGCTCTCAACATGGCTGTGCAGGAAGCAAACTTGGAAGTGACTTGACAACTCTGCCTTTCTATGGAGGCTCCAACTCGCATGCTTCACCAAAGCTCTTGCTGACTCAAGTCAAGCCAATTGATTTCCTCTCTGGCCTCCTCCATGCTTACCTCCCGCTGCTGCACCTGCTCCAAGGGTGATTTTCCAGGGCTTTTTAGGGTGCACCTAGTGAGAGTTGGAAAGTGGTGTGTGTGTGTGTGTGTGTGTGTGTGTGTGTGCAGAGAGGAGGGGGAACTGTGGACCCTCAAGACACAATGGAGCAGGTTTAAACCACTGCTGGGTCGGGGTATCCATAAGGACGACAGGTCCTCATGGGTGTGTAAGTCAGGCGTCGGGAGACATACACCGAGCCTGAAGTAAGACCCCGGTGTGATTTTTAAGAGGAAAGGTATCCTCTGTTATGACTTCAGGGTCCAGAATCAGGAGATGAGGACCATCAATTCTTCAGTCAATGCCTGTTTCCCAAGTTCTGTACTATTTATTGTCTTCTTAGGCAGCAGGCTCAAATGTCCTGCGGCTGCAAATTAAGTGGAGGCTCCCAAATGCAGAGTAGTGCCCCACAGCTTCTCCCTAAGGCCTTCCAGGTAGAGGAGGGGACTGGGAACCCTCTGAACCACCGCTGCAGCCAGTCCTTCCCAGGAGAGGAATGAAGCCTACAGCAGGAGCCCCTTCCACTTTTACCAGATTCCGGATTCTATTTTGGCTGCACTGGGGTTTGAACTCAGGGCCTTCACTCTTCCTAGGCAGGTTCTCTACAACTTGAGCCACTCCACCAGCCGTTTTTTGTGTTGGGTATTTTTCCAGATAGGGTCTTGTGAACTATTTGCCTTGAGAACTGTTTGCATGGGGCTGGCTTAGAACCACGATCCTCCTGATCACTGCCCTGGCCCTGATGCAACTGACCTTTTCCCCACTTGGGGCTTCTCAACTTGACAAACCTTCACCAGGGCCATGATTGCTGCTGTGATGCAGTCACCCTCCTGTCTCTAGGCAAACATTTGCCTTTGTAGTAGTTTGGTCATCCACCAGCTCGCAACTCCAGGGCCCTCCCATCCCCTGGACAAAAATGCTCTTTCCCCCAGTGACCTGACAGCAACCACGTGGTGGCACATAGCCGATTGGCCAGGGTGGAGGCAGGACTGGGGAAAAGTCACTGTGCTAGACTACATCCCACTACCCAACAATGGCCACACTTGCAGGACACATACCTGTGACAGGGACACAGAGGGCCACTTAAAAAGATGTTGCCTTGCGTTCCAGTGGCTCTGGTGCAGCTTTCCTTGTGGGAGAGGCTGTGGGATGGACTGCCATAGTTCATCCCAGCCCACCCCCGATGGGTGTGGTGGGAGTGCTGATGGCCACCGGTGTGGGTGCCCCTCAGGGTTCTCAGGTGTCCTAGTGATGGCGGGGAAGACATGTATTTGATATTTGAGTCTCCGAACTTGGTTTCTGCCACAAACTTGACTTTCTTTCCCCTTTACAGGGAGGATTCTTACTTGAAGGACAGGCATAGCAACTAAACTGCAAGGCAACCAAGTCACACTAGGGTAGGACCTGCAGTTTAATCCTGGAAAACATCCTAACTCAGGTGTGTAGAGGCACAGTGGCTCTGCCAGCCAGCACTCTCGTGGCATCTGATGGTGGATGACAGGTCTCCAGGCAGGGCGTGATGCCTGATATGCACACAAGCCAATGTTTTAGCACAGGGTTTTTGCAGAGTGAGCTTTACTGGTGGCTGACCCACAGGAGGCGGAGACAGCTCACATCTCTCCAGCATGGGTGGCCAGGGCGGGAGAATGGAGGCTGCTTGGTTGTAACTGGGAGTTGGCAGAATCATTCATGCCTGGCCACAGGTCCAGCTGGAACTTGTGGATGATCCTGGTTTATCCTGCAACCATTGGTGCCTTCCCTTGCTTCTACTCTAGGATCTCCTTCCTTGGGTTCTGCTTGTGGGAGACTTGGTTTTCAGGCTCTCCAGGTTGTTTTAGGGCAGGACCTAGGGTTCTGTGCCTATGCCACGAAGAACAACAGAGGTAAGGAGCAGGGAAGTTGCTGTTTTATGGCTCAGATTTAGAAATGGCAGTTGAGTCTAGTTCATAGTGGGTTTGGGTGCCCCAGCTGATCCCTCTTCTGGGCTGGAAGAGTTGGAGTGCATGCTGTCTAGGTACCAGAAGCTACCGCCGACTACCTCTGTCCATTTCTACCAAGTATGGATGACACTCTCTCATGAAACTGCAAGGAGAGGAGAGTCATTAATGCCTCTTTTCTTTCTTTTTTTTTTTTTTTTTTTTGCTGTACTGGGGTTTGAACTCAGGGCCTCATGCTTGCATGCTTGCTAGGAGCTCTACCTCTTGAGCCACTCATTAATGCCACTTTTCTTCGAGCTAATGTCAGCATTAAGAATAGAAAGAACTTGGAAAGACAGGAAGAACTACATGAATTATTCACAGGCCTGTACCTCAGCAGGTAGAAAATGCTCAGGGCTTATTTGTTGACTGCCTGGAGGGCCCCATAGATTGTTTGGTTCAATTCTCTTATTTTACAAATGAGGAAACTAAGATGGATGGGATGATGCGTGCCTATAATTCCAGTGTTTGGGAGGCTAAAGGCCTGGGCTAGGGCTACATATGTCTCAAAATGAAAATGAGACAAACAAGGAAGCTAAGGCACAAGGATTTTTTATTTAATCCCTCTCTCTTCTTTCAGGAAGACTTAGCATTTGGTGTTGGAGCTCATTACTGATTCCTTGGTCACTCCACATGGCAGGTGGCTGGGGAGGATGTAGAAGGGAATTGAGGTGCTCCAGGAAGGAGGGGGGTAGTAGCAAGGGAATATAAGTCGCCCAGAGGGAATGGAGGACAGGGGTTGCCAGAGCCCCAACCCTGAGGTGCTGAAAACTAGGGGAGCAGTGAAGAAAGAACTCCCTGGCCTGTCTTGTGAATGAGATAAAGCTTGAAACATGGTACAATCAGAAGGGGGAATCCACTGGAGACAGTGTAGACAAACTACACTAACAAATACTTACGAGCACATCCTGGCCAGCAGCTTAGGGTTGGTGGTTTTCTGGGTAGAGATAGGAAGGCACTGGGATCGGTGCCCTGGAGCAAGCAAGTGACCTCCCTGATCTCCCCATCTCCCCCTCTCCAGGCCTATCCTCCTGCCCATGCAGACAGACCTACCTGCCTCCACCTCCTGTGGGGAAGGCCAGCGGTGGGAGCAATTCATTTGTTTGGGTGGGGGATAGTCTTGCTTCTGCTGCTGCAAGGTGTGTCAGGAAGCAAGTGGGTGTCATAAGCAGCTTCTCCACCTGTAGGTATTAGGGAAGTCTGGCCAAGCAGCTGCCCTGAGCAAGGCATAAACACTGTCTGATTTCTGCTGGGCTCCTCCAGCTGGGAGGCCCTGGGCCACTAGGCTCAGCAATGTGTAGTCTCGGCTCAGCTCCCAGGTAGGGAAGGGTGCCTGCTCCAACCTCTCTTCAGCAGAGCAGGGAGGCAAGCAGGGGGAGCCTCACCCACATCACGTACCCAAAAGCTAAATGAGCACAGAGACGAGGGTGTCAAGGGCATTCAAAGCTTAGGAATGGAATTGTGGGATCCCCTCTCCTCCACTTGCTGCCTGCCCTCCCCTTTCTTTCTCCCCTATTCTGCTGGCCCCTGGGAATAGCAGGGAAAGAGCGGGGGAGGAAGGGGAGGAGATAGGAGAGGAGGAAGTGCTCCAAGTCTCCAGTGTGGCCGCCCACCTTCTCAGTTGGTGGCTCCCTGGGTTTGTCTTCTCTTCTCCCTCCTGCCTCTAACTCAGTTCTTCAGACCTGTGATTCTCAACCCCTAGAGAGATCACAGGTGGCAAAACCAAAAAACAAACAAGCAAACAAACCCAACAACAAAAAACCTTGGATAAAACCAAACCTCCATTTCCACCCTTCTTCAAGGGAGACAGCAAGCACCTGTTCTTTGACCTCTTCTCATGTCCACGTGCAGGAGGCTTGTCAGTAGTTTTCTAGACCATCTTAAATCCTCCTCCCCCTGCCTCTTCTCCATCCCTTTATCACCTCTAAACACAGAATTTGGAGGAGGGGAGCTCTGGGACCAGCTTTCTGCACCCACTCTGTGCCTGTCAACTCAACCTCTGTAGCCCTGGCATGATCTTAGGACATAAAGCTAAGCAGTTGCCACCCCCACTCCACAGCTCATACCCTGCAGTGGCTGTCTGCCTCCTTCCCCGCTGTGGCCACTGCTCATACTATGGTCACATCCCTTTGCTATGGCCATGCCTGGCACACACCCTTCCCGCTGACAGTCACTACCCAACCTGTCTGCATGGAAGCAGCACCCTCCCATGAATGGCACCTACATTAGCACCCATTACACTGTCACGGAATCTCACGTGTGTAGCCTGTCGAGGAAAAGAAGCCAGTCTTATCGTCTCTGTGCTCCCCGCATCTAGCACAGTCTCTTACTCCTTACCTAAAAGGAGTAAGAAAGGGAGAATGGGTGGCAAAGCAAGACAGGGTCTTTCTTTAGGCTGCTGGGGAGCTCAGGCCCAGGCCTTATGGCCTCCATTCCTCCAGGCACTGGACTTGGTGGTCAGGCAACCCATGTGGAAGGAAGTATAGTAACAAGGATGTCTCTTAACCAGTTCTGATCTCTTCCAGTAACCTTGGGGGCAATGCCATCAATGAGGTGGTCCTAAATTTGCTCAAGGCTGGACGATCCCGGGAAGAAATTACGATGGAGCATGTGGAATCACACCTCCAGGCTGAGATCACAGAGTCTGAAGGTAACTGGCCGGTGCCCTGCTCTGGTGTGAGTCATTGCTGGAGGTGATTAGTGTATCTGCTGACTGAGATGACAAGGGAGCTTGCACCCCAGAGGACACATCAGAAACACTCAATTTCTGGTGGCACAAGTGCCAAGAAAACCTAAACTCCTTTTCTGAAAATGCTTTGCAAGTCAGTGGCACTGGCGCTGGAAATACATACGGGCTTTGGGCTTCGAAGCCTGTTGCCTCTGCGGTTCTCACTGTGAGAACCAGGGTGGGTTGGCTTCCTGCCATCAGTGCCAGCCAGGCTCCTCTTCTGTTGCACTGTGACACATACAGTCACCGTGGTGTGCTTTCTCTAGAAGAGACACAGCCACATGGCTCCAAATAAGCCTTCCTGGAGCTGGCTTAGGTTTGAGGACAACCTAAAACTCCAGCTGGGCTTAGACTCCATGTAACTCTGGGTCTTGATTTCAGACAGTGGATTTGGCCACAGCCATCTTGTGAAGGAGCTGGTTGATTTCTTTGTCCCCTTCCTGCCACTGGAGTTCCGTCACGTGAGGCTGTGTGCTCGCGATGCTTTCCTGAGCCAGGAGCTCCCGTACACAGAAGAGGCTCTGGATGAAATTGCCAAGATGATGACCTATGTCCCCAAAGAGGAGCAGCTGTTCTCCTCCCAGGGCTGCAAAGCCATTGCCCAGAGAATTAGTTACATGCTGCCCTGAAGGCTGCATAGGCTTCCTCCTCCACTAACCTCCAGATCGGCTAGGGAAGCATTTGGTGTCCACGATCACTAACACAACTCATGTGTAAAATGGAGGCTTTGAAGCAGAAGCAAGTCTTAAAAATCACCTAGTGCCTTAAAGACCTGCATTGCACAATGTGGGCCAGGAGGCTGGAGGACATCAGTGGGGAGATTGGTAAACCCCAAAGGCTCCGTAGAATTCTGGCTGTGGTGTCCTTGGCAGTACAGGTACGGAACAGGGAAGAAGGAAGTTCTACTGCCCAGCAATGGGGAACACACCTCACATGTGGGCTGGCTTTCACATTCTTACTCCCAGAAGAAAGCTGAGCAGATGAGCAAAGAGCCTTAGGCTAAAGGGAAAGGTGCATGGGGAGATACTTCAAAATCGCATGAGTGTAGGCTAACACTTGTTCTGCTCTGCAGACTGAAAAACAAAACCTTTTAAAAAAGTAATTAGGGGCCTTAGCTGGATGTGGTGGTTCATGCATGTCAGTCTAGCACTAGGGAGGTAGAAGCAGAAGGAACTTATGTTCAAAGCCAGACTGAATGGCATAGCAAGACCATGTTTCAAAAACCAACAAAAATGCAGAGTGCATGCCTGCCGAGTTCAAACCCCAGTACCATCACCAAAAAAAAAGCGTGGGGGGGGTGGACTTGACATGACATTGTTATAAAGATTAAAATTTGTATTTTTTTAATATCCTTGGCCTACTTCCTCACTGAGACCTCATAATGTGCTCGCTTAGTAAAATTTCAAATGCCAGGTAATCCTGATGGGGACCAGTAGAGATGAGGTGAGGGCCAGCAGGGTGTGTGGCTGGTCTGTTTCAGTTTGCTTTGGGACCATGCTGGCTGAACCAAGTTATGCCAGCCTCTTCCTAAACAGGCTTCCAAGGCATGGTGTGCTTACATGTGAAACCTGTGTAATGTGCTTTCCACCTCCCAGGTTTGGTCCCCTTTTCTTGGTTCTTCCCTTCTACTGCACTTCTGGAATAACATACCATTTGTCATTATGTCAAGTTCTCTTTTGAAGCCCTCCTCAACCCTTTCTCCTTTAGCCCTTGTAAATTAGAATACCTTTATCTCCCCATGCAACATTTTTTTGGGCTTAAGCACTCAACTGCCAAGGTTGGGAGTACCTGGCCCAGTCACATTAGGTACTCAATAAGCATTCAAATAAATGAATTAAAGCAGCTTAGCTTCACACCACCAATGGACAAAAGTAAACTAGGCCTACTGGCAAGTCAAATGGGGCAAGTTTTAGCTGCTGGCTCACTATCCTGCAGTCCAGAACTCTCTAGAAGAACATGCAGCTGCTGCCCGAACCTAGTACACACCCAGCTCTAAACTCTTGATATACTTTGGAGGGTATGGCATGTTTGAATCTGAGACATAAAACGGTCCATGTTCTCTTAGAACTAGCCAGCCATGTTTGGTGTCAAGTAGAGGATCTAAAGGACCCACCTTGGAAAGACAAGCAGCAGTAAAACATAGTTCCAGCCACCATCTCCAGTCAATTGTGGCTCTGCCACTTAACCACTGTGAGACACTAGGAAAGCTACTCATCCTCATCCTCGTTCTCACTTCAGCTTCCATTTGGGCATCACTACATGGCCCACAGGGCGTGGGGAGAATCCGTGAGCTCATCAGTTGCTCTTAATCTTTCACATGGTATCCCCTCTTCAGCTCAGAAGAACTGACTTGCAGAAAAGTAATGTACCTGTCTGAAAAGAAAATGCAAATGCTGGGCCCAGGAGGTTGAGGTCTGTTTCAGAGATCTGGGGAGGAAGAAAGCAGTCTTGCTGTATCTTCTCCTATGAAAGCCTTTTGTGCCCCATGAGCCCACTAAGATAGAGCTTTTAGATGAAGAAATAGCCCCTCTATCTTCCTCAGGGAGTCTTTAATAAACCTGACTCTTTCTACCAAGTTCTGTCTCCCAGGCTTTCCATGAGCAGCATGAACATTTAAGTCTGGTAACACTTAGGACACAGCTTTAGGTAAATAAAAACAAGTCATCTTGCTCTCTGTACACAAAAGTGTGGAGTTTCCATACCAAGCAATTCTGTTTCGTGGTGGGTAAAAACTGGGTCGTCTGCAACTGGATTGGACATTAACTACCTACAGTTACTACGGGTTATGGGCTCAGTTTCACAAGACTGTCCCCCCTTCAGACGACAAGTAGTGGGTCCCCAAGTTATCTGCACCTTCTACCAATCTTGGCTACAAAGCTAGGGCTCCCACCACCCCTTTCTCAGGTTTAATAATTTACACAGAACTCAAGAAAAGGCTTTTGTGTTGCAAGTCTATTTACAAACTATGCATATGACAATTAATGTCCAGAGTATCGAAGGAACTCAACAAATAATCCAATTTAAAAATGGGCAGGGGCTGGAAGAGTGCCTGAAGTGGTAGAGTGCCTTCCTAGCAAGCTCAAGGCCCTGAATTCAAGCCCCAGTACCATCCCCCAAAAACAAAACAATAACAAAAACTGGGCGAAAGATCCATAGAGGCATTTCTCAAAAGACAGGAGAAATAGTCATAGGTATATGAAAAAATGCTTAGCAGTCCTACTCAACAGGGAAATGCAAATCAAATCCACAGAATACCACCTTACCCAACTAAAATACCTATTATCAAAAAGATCTTGCTGTGGATGTGCAGCATACTGGGGATATAAATTAGTACAGTCATTATAAAAACAATATGGAGGTCCTCAAAACATTAACATTACACACCAGTAATTCTAAGACTTGGGAGGCAAAAGGCATGAAGATTGTGAGTTTGAGGCCAGCCTGGGCTACATAGGGAGACCCTGTCTCAAAAAACCAAGGGCTGAGGATGTGACTCAGTGGTAGAATGCTTGTCTAATATGCTAAGGCCCTGTGTCTGACTCCCAGCACAGCAAATAAAACTCCACATAAATAAAAACATGAAAAACATCTCATTAGTTATTACTAGGAGAAACTATAGAGAAAGTGCTTCAAAACATAGGAATGTACAAATATTTTTTGGACTAGACCCCAACAGCACAGGAAAAAGCAAAAACAGACAAATGGGATTACATTAAATTAAAGGCAACACAGCAAAGGGAAGAAGAGTGAAGAGATAATCCACGGAATGGGAGCAAAGGTTTACAAACTATGCATCTGAGTTAAAAACCAGATTATGTACAGAACTTGAAAAATTCAAAAGTAAAACCCCAAATAGCCCCATTTAAAAATGGGCAATAGACATTTCTTAAAAGTAGACAAATGGTTGGCAAGCACATGAAAAAATGCTCAACATCACTATCTAGGAAATGCAAAACAAACCCACAAGATATTACTTCACACCAGTCAGAATGGCTGTCACCAAACGCTAAGTACTGGTGAGGATGTGGAGAAAAGGGAATCCTTGCACTGTTGGTAGGAATGCAAAGTAGTACAGCCACTGTAGAAAACAATATGGAGGTTCTCAAAAAATTAAAACCTTATGATCCAGCAATCTTGTGGGTTTTTTTTTTTTTTTTCAGTACAGGGGCTTGAACTCAGGGCCTTCACCTTAAGCCACCACACCAGCCCTATTTTTGTGAAGGGTTTTTTGAGATAGGGTCTCTCGGAACTATTTGCCTGGGCTGGCTTTGAGCTGCGATTCTCCTGATCTCTGCCTCCTGAGTAGCTAGGATTACAGGCATGAGCCACTGGTGCCCAGCATGATCCAGCAATCTTATTACTGGATATATACCCAAAGGAAATGAAGCCAATGTCAAAGAGACATTTGCATTCCCACGATTACTGCAACGTATTCACAACAGCCCCAAAATGAAAACCACCCAATTATCCATCAAATGATGAATGGATAAAGGAAATGTGGTACATATACACAATGGAATGCTATTCTAAACCACCAAAAGAATGAAATCCTAGCCAAGCCTGGTAGTTTCTCAGTACTTGGGAGGCAGGGGGATTGTAAGGTCCAGGCCAGCCTGGGCTACCCAGCAAGACCCTGTGTAAGGATAAATAGAAACCATATCATTTGTGACGACATGGATGGAACAGATCATTGTTATGTGAAGTCAGGCACAGAAAACACCGCACGATCTCACTCATGTGGAACACAGAAAAGTTGATCTCATAGAAATTGAGGGTTCGATGTGAACTGCCACTGAGAACGGGAGGGAGGGGTGGGAAGAAGTTGGTCAACGGGTACTAATTCACAGTTACGAGCAAGAAGTTCTGGTGGGCTACTGCATGGTAAGATGACTACAGATGACAATGTCCCGTGTATTTCAACAGGCTAGAGGAAAGGATTTTCAACATTTTTACCATGAAGAGGTTAAGTGTTTGAACAGATATGTTTAACTTTATTTAAACATTACGCAATGTATACATGTATGAAAACATCATATGGAACCCTATATATGTGTAAAATTTTTATGTATCAACTCAAAATTTTAATAAAAGATTAAAATGCACTTTCAACAGGACTGCTTTATTTTTTATTTTTTTGGTACTGGAGTTCAAAGTCAGGGCCTCACATTTGCTAGGCACTAGGCACTCCTCCAGGCCTTTTTTATGTTGGATATTTTCGATAGGGTCTTGTGAATTATTTGCCTGGGCTGACGCTGAACTGTGATCCTCTTAATCTCCTGCCTCCTGAGTAGCTAGAGTTTTGGTGTGAGCCACTGACACCTGGCAAAGGACTGCTTTAAATACATTCTAATGTATAATATTCAAATGTGCATACATTCTTTGGGAATGATGAAAACACACACACACACACACACACACACACACACACACACACACACACACACAAAGTAACCTAAAAATATGATCCAGCAATACCACCACATCCAGGGGAAATAAAGTCAGTCTGTGAAAGAGATATCTGCTCTCCTGTGTTTACTACAGCACTATTCACAATTGCCAAAAAGATGGGACCAACCTAAGTTTCCATCAACAGATGAAAGGGCAGACTTTGAGCACATGATAAAAGCGAAAGCACACAAGGGAGGGGTGAGGATAGGTAAGACACCTAAAAAATTAGCTAGCATTTGTTGCCCTCAACGCAGAGAAACTAAAGCAGATACCTTAAAAGCAACTGACCCCAACAGGAAAAGGGGACCAGGAACTAGAGAAAAGGTTAGATCAAAAAGAATTAACCTAGAAGGTAACACACACGCACAGGAAATTAATGTGAGTCAACTGCCTGTATAGCTATCCTTATCTCAACCAGCAAAAACCCTTGTTCCTTCCTATTATTGCCTATACTCTCTTCAACAAAATTAGAGATAAGGGCAAAATAGTTTCTGCTGGGTATTGAGGGGGTTGGGGGGAGAGTGAGGGGGCGGAGTGGGTGGTAAAGGAGGGGGTGGGGGCAGGGGGGAGAAATGACCCAAGCCTTGTATGCACATATGAATAATAAAACAATAAAAAAAAAACAACAGATGAAAGGGCAAAGGAAATGTGGTACATATACAAATGGAAAACTATTCAGGCATACAAAAGAATTGAAATCCTCTCATTTCATGGATAAACCTGGAAGATACTGTCACCCGAAATAAGCCAAACAAAAAACAGAAAGACAAATATTGCATGATCTCATTCATCTGTCAGATCTAAAGGAGCTGATCTCATCTCAGAAGCACAGCATAGAAGACTGGTCACCAGAGGCTGGGGAGGGCAGAGGAGGGACTATAGAGGCAAGCCTGTATGGTAATACCCACAAAGTTACAGAAAAGTGAGTTCTAGTGTTAGACTTTATAATAGGGTGACCACAGTTACCAACATTGTATTGAATATTTCAAAAGCTCTGGAAGAGAGGGTTTTGAACGCTATAACCAACCAAAATAAATATTTGAGGTTATGGGTATTCTGAATACCCTGATTTGATTATTTTGGTATACACATGTATAGAAGCATCACACTATACCCCATAAATATGCACAATTTATGTGTTAAAGAGAAAAAAGTTTTAACTAAAAAAATAAAGAATAGAATATTCCTTTTTGAGGGTCTATACTTAGGCTATATTAATGCTACTCTTGTTCAAAACACTTTTAGAACCTATTTGGAGTTGTCCTCAGAATGGATTTTGAGAGAATTAAACTTCCCTTTACCTTATTTTGGAGATACACACACACACTTATCTACCTTGTTTACAGCAGCCCGGGCTCCAGATGAAGCTTGGTGTAAAAAATGCAATCCATCAAAGGATGAGTATTCACCACCCCCCACACCACAGCATACTCTAAAGAGTGAACCAGAGGGATACTGACTAAAATCAGCTTCTTTATCTTACCGACATTTACTTTATGTAGAGAGAGAAAGTCTGCTTAGAATACCTATCAAGTAAAATCATGGGAGAAATACTCCAATCTCAAGCCTACTTTGCCAATAAAATATTACAACCTTTATTTAAGACAAAACTCAACTTGCAAACCTTGTGAGACAACAGGCAGAGATCAGTCCCTTTCAAGGGCATCATTTATTTACATCAAGTTTAACACTGTTAGCAGTTCACAGTCAGACAGAGTGAGAAAATTAAATTAGAAAAACAACTGAAAAGATATTACATAACAATTAAGAACAAATACCTGACAACACTGGTAGTGTGACCCATGACTGACATGTTTTCAGTTAGAGCCCATACTGTCTTATTGTATACTGGGTCCCCTTAGCAATGCACACTGTGCCCACTCCAACCTCGCCCTCTGTGCACCACATAGACCTGCAGAGTGGAACCTTTGGTATAAATATTAGTTTTTAAAGAGTCTCAATCAGCAATGTTTTAGGACAGAGTTCTATCAACCACCATGAAATGTTCAAACTTTTTACCAAATAAGATAAAAATTGGCGTTTCTCCACTGATAGTCATTATAGAATCAGATTGCAAGAAGGAAAAGTAAAGGGTCTACAAGGGAAACAGGATTTGTGTACACAGTAACAGCTCAGTCAGCCTGTTCATGGCAACACACCGGCCACACCTCCTCCTCCACTCCTCCTCCTCTACTTAATGGGCACAGTGTATCTTCACTTACAGACATAAACTTGTGCCCTCCACATAGATCTGAGCTATGAGGGTGTTCAAACATACACCACAAAGAACTGTAAGGTAAGCACTCATTGTTTGTTCTAGTTTCTAATCAAGGTGTTTTCTCAAGATATCAGAAAATCCTTTGCATGGTAGAGTACAAGTGACATAGTGAGAACTAGCTATCAAGATGGAAACTGGTTTACCTGGCCCTCATCTGTCAAAAGCAGCTCTGTCTGTGGCATTCTCGCTACTCACAACACACAGCGTGATACTTAAGAAATGTGCAGAGCAGTAGTTGGGATTCATTACTAATGATCCTAAAGCATTGCAGCCTTCTGCAACATCTTCTGAGTCAAGAATAAGCTTATTTGGCTTACCTATATATTCTTTTTATTGTGTTATAAATGCTGAAAATCAGGTACCCATATATGTGAAAATTTTATTAATCACAAGTCCCATCCTCCAACTAAATTTTATGGTGCCTAAATACATAATTTAAAACTTCTATTCTGAAGCTCAGAAGCAAGTCTAAGCAAATTCCAATCACAAAACTTCCTGTACTGCCTTCCACAAAGCTTGCTGGCATTTGACAGTGTGCCTCCACCATGTCCTGAAGGGCTGAGTAGCATGCTCGGGCTCTGTACACAGCTGAGCAGCTTGGCGTGACAGGTAGGATCCAGAAACTTGAACAAAGACTCTCACAGAACAGACACAAAGGACTGCACCATAATTCTGCCCTGAAGATGGTGCATATGCTCTGAGGACAAGATTGTACTTTCAACTTAAAGCACACACTTTCCTGTTAGATAACCGCACTCAACATGCTGCCTGTCACCACTCGGAGTTAACAGGGCCAGTTAACAAGATACAATTTTTCTAGGAGAGGTAAACAATTTCAAACTTATAACTGTACACAGAAGCAAAGTGTGTACATGTGAAATGAAGGGTCCAGTGAGGGCCTCCTTCCCTCGGCTCAGCCAGTGGGATGGAGAAAAGGGCAGCAACCTACCAGCACTCTGGAGGAGAACCCTTCAAGTCAGGGAGTCCCACTGACTGGACGTTTGAGCCTGAAAGCTCACTTCTACCAGACCTAGTTTAATCAAGCCAGTCAATGCAGCAGACAAATCTGTTCCTCTGTAAGACCCATGAACCTATTTTTAAAGGCACAAATCTCTACTGGTGACCTCTGCCACTCCAAGTCTGCTTAGAATAAAGACAACGTGCCACAGACCTCCTTATCCAGGGGGAAGCACTGAATCTTCTTGTCCTGACTACACAGGAGAGAATCTTTCCTAATTTCCTGGCCTTTGGAACTAGGATATTTAGTCAGAAACAAAGGAATTATCATCTCACATACTCTCACAAAGCAGAACATGCACCTCAGGCGGGTGGAATGAAAAGCAGCAGCCCAAAAGCAAAAATTTGTCTGTCTGCACATCAAAATAACTCTCACAAGAGATAAGGTGGAGTTCAGAGTCACCTGCAGAATCAATGCTGTGGAGCAGGGTGCAGTGCAATCTACAGTCCTGAAGTCCACCGGTTCCTCAGTAACAGGAGCATAGGGAATGGCAGTGAAGACCGGCAAGTGTAACTGTACTGAGCAGGGCACTCCAAGAACTACTGACTTGCCCCCCAGAGAGCCAGCTTTGCATGAGATCTTTTAAAATCTAGTAGCTGGAAAACTGAAACCCTACACAAATGATGCAGACACCCTCACTGTTAAGAGTGGGCTCAAGGTCTCGCCTCTCTGACTGATGAGACTATAACAGCAGTGTCCTCGGTTGTAACATGGAAGGACAGACACTTCTTGGACTGCCTTTCTCTAGTTCTTTAAAATGCCCAACAAATCTCCAACTGAAGCAAGCATTTTCAAAATGCTTGACAGGAGCTAAGGCAGAGATACAGAGAGCCAGAGTCTGTCAATACATCAGAAACTCAAGGCCAGAGACCTAACTATATAAAAAGGACTGGCCATAACAGGTGCTCAGGGAGAGATGGACCCCAGATCCAGATGGAGCAAGTTAATGCAAGCAAGATGATGAAACCTCCAAATTATTAAGAACAAAAATATGGACAACCCTGTCAGTTCAGTATGAACTCCTGGTAGGCGACAACCACATAGCCTGCTAATGACAATGATGTCAGGAGCAAAATGGGAAGAAGTGGGAGAGATTAGGGAGAAATGTAGCTGTAACTCAAAAGTAGCCACCTCTGCAATTTACTCAAGTATTTTATAATCTAGTAGGTAAATTAAGTTCAGATGTTTCTTAGAAAAAAACAAAAATAGATAATAAATGTAAATGCCATTTGTAATTGGTAGGAAATTGAGAAAAACAATTCCCCAAGTGTACTGATTCTACGGCCATCCAGTCTCCCCGACTCCCACCCCCAAACCACACAGGACACAGGCTTAAAAAGACACTGTCAACACCAACAGGTAACAAGTCTGCTCTTACCACATTTAAGATGCTAATGGTTGAGCATGAGGTGGACAAATGTTCAAGAGTAAGAGGGCCTTCCTTGAACTAAGGTTCCTAGAACCCAGGAGCTTCTGTATACTGAGGTGAGTTCACTTTACTATTTTTTTTTTTTTGAGACAGGATCTCACTATATAGCCCAGGCTGCCTTGAACTCACAATCCTCCTGCCTCAGCCTCTCAAATGCTGAGATTACAGGCATGCAGCACCACATCAAGTGACTTTATCACTTTTTAAAGGTGAGAATTAAACAAAAAAGTTGGTCCCAGTTTTCTGAAGTTACTCAGCTCTGAACTATAAACTTTAGCAAAACATTTGCTATGCCTGCACGTATTCATTTAGATCATATTTATAAATGCAATAAACTGTAGGGGTGAATCTATATATCTAAAGTTTCAGGCTCTCTGCAGGTGAAAGCCTTTAGGCCAATCAGCAATGATCAAATGTTGTAACTTCTACATAGACATTCATAATACAACTTTATATTACATTTGATACTTTCTCAAAGTGCTTTCAAATATATTATCTTATAGTCATTAAGATGATACTGAACAATATTTTTTTTAATTAAAAAGGAATGTAGGACTAGTTTTTTTTGAAAGAAAACCACCAAAAACTTGAGTTGTTATTCCTTTACTACAAAGTGCGGATTGTGGGTTGCTGAGGTCAGTCCAAGAGAATGACCCCATATGATCTTTTCAATTACTGAGTTCTACTGAATGCTTGTTTTGCTAGTGTTGCCATCACTCAACGTTCAAGCCCCTAAGATCAGAGCGTACCTGGACTATGTGCTTCAGAAAGTGTGCAGCACGTGTGGGCTGATTGTCTATCCGAGCCACTTTTTCGCAGTGTCTCACAAGGCAGCAGGTATGGTGGAAAGATCCCGTAACTGTATGTTAGGAGACCAAATTCCAGCCTCGACTCTGCCACTAATTGTTCGCAGATAATGGACAAGTAACTTAACCATCCTTTCCTCTAGTTTCTTACTCTATAAAAAAAAGGCTATTGACAGTTTTCAGATAATGCTGGGTGTCTGAAACACCTGTTGAGACTCATGGAAGACACATTGGTTGAGAATTTAATCCACTGGGAATTCTGATCTAGAGTGGGGCTATTTTATCAGTTTTTCTTAAAAGACCCCTAGGGAATGATTCTGTTGTACATTCCTGGATTAGGTGTTAATCAACAATAGTAGTTGACATTTATTGAGTGCTCACTGTGTACTAGGCACTTGAGCTAAGTATCTTACAAACACTATCTCAATTAATCCTTACAACAACCCTGAGGTAGTTATTATCCCTGTTTTTAATGAGGAAACTGAGGCTCAGGAAGGGTAAATGACTTGCCTTCTAGACTAGCTTTAGAGCCTGGAAGCTAAACCACTATCTATACTGCATCCTTTAAATTCAAAAGCTCTGTGATTTTAGTTAAATAATTATGAGCTATGCCTTGGCAAAGACAGTATGTTTTATTAATTAGGAACTGTTTACTAGCCAACTTTCAATTGAGTTGTTAAAAAATTTTCTAATTTAAACCTAAAAATGCATTAGGGAAAGGGTCTCCACAATAATGACCTTTATGTAGATGTCATCTATAAAAACACTGAATACAATTTCTCACATAACAGAGCTCATAGCTTGGTACCAACTTCAATTCACTGTAACAGCATGTAGAAAACACATCTTTTAAGAAAGGGCAAAAATTTTAAAGGTTGTATCTCTGGAAATCATGATGGAAGTCTGCAACTCAAAATTTGAAATTTTAATTTACACAAAGCCTTTCAAGAGAGCACTCAAGGTAAAGCACAATCCAGATGTATCCAACATGAAACACTACACCTTAAAGCAGACCTAAACTGCAATCCCATCACCGGTGTGTGAAAGGAATTGAGCTGTGGCAACCCAGAGGGGTACGTACATATCGCCACTTTAGAACTGGCTGTGCGCAGCATGAGGGCCTTTTTTCATGCTTTCTGTTTTGCTCTCAGATTCGATAAAATTAAACTACACTTTTAGTTTCTAGAAGCAGTTTTCTGTGCTTTGAATTTAAACCTTTCAATTTACATGAGGCTTTCTTTTTTTAAGCTCATCCTTCACAAGTAGAAAAATGAAAAATCTAAATGGTACTTTTATAGCTAGTTGACAGTGCCTCTTTAACCTGAACCCTAAGCCCTTGACCCCTGAAGTTATACAGGTCAAGCATGATGTGGATGGGCTGTGCTACAATAGTTAATGCTACTCATGACAGTGTCAAGAAAAAAAAATATGAATTTACTGAGCACCTACTGTAAGCAAGACAGAACTAGGTGCTGCCCTGAGTAAGACACAGTCCTAGCTTACCACCCTTAAGAATGTTTATTGGTGAGAAAACCAGGGAACTGAAATACACTCAGTAGTGTTTCTCCAAGGCTTATTTTTCAGAACTCTTAAGAAAAAAAATAGAGCCCTTGCTTAAAAAAAAAAAAAATCCCCTGAAAACAATTATAATCCCTTAATGTACATCCCACAATGACAGGGATAAACTTAAAAAGCAGCATAACATTTCAAAAATTTAGCTTTCTCCTCCCCACCTTTAAATGACTAACTGCCAAAATAAGTTCAAGTTTATGGATGTAAATGATGATGGGCAACAGTAAGAAGGTGGGAGGAAGATTGTTGGTTTTAAAACCCAAGTTCTTTTCCAACAACAACAGCAATGACCCGCTCACTAGGTGCTTGTGCTGCAACCATAGGCAGCACTGACAGGGATCACCAGTACCGACCAGGATGATCATTACCATCTTCTCCATTCCAATCCTCTTTTAACCTGAGCCTCCTTTGGAGCAGCAGTGGTAAGAACCAAGGTTTCCTTTCTTTCTAATGAAAACTAAGTTTCTTCCTTGGTCAAAAATGCCAAACTCTATCCAAAACAGTTTCTCCTTTAGTATTCTAGCCTAATTAATAAAAGCTCAACAGTTCTAAATTTCATCAGTATCTGCTACTTGGCAAAGGAGAATGGAAATCCAATATAACAGCACTAAAGAGCTCCCCAGAGAGGTTCTCAAAGGGGTAGCTATGCACTTATTTGCCAAACACCCTTGAGATCATGTACTGTTACCTTCATTTAACAGATTAAAAGATGGGCTGTGGTTTGGCAGTGCATCAGTGACAGAGCAGGGAAGAAAACTCACTACTTTATAGAGTCAAACTTCTATTTTTCTACATTAATATTCCTTTGGAAAAAGAAATTCAAAATATTTTGGGTTCTCTTTGGGGAATGCAGTATTCATAAAGCATTAAAAAAAGAACAAAGTATTAACTGGAATTAGACCTGATACCAAGAACATTAATAACATGTAACCCATAAGATTCAGTTCCATGCCATGCTAATTAGTTTCCATAATTATAACTGAGTGGGGAAGGGAAATGCCTATTTTTCAAGGAAAAAACCTATTTAGGGTTAAGTCATTAGGTGTTCAGAGTCTAACTGGTACTCCCTAAAAGCAACCTACTCCTTCAATTATGCAATCTTAAATAGGGGTGAAATGACAAAATAAATAAAGAATATTCCCAATATGAACTTCACAAACAAGCACAATGATAGGGGTGAGGGAAATACGTGAGTGGAGAACAGCATGTGAGAATAATGTGGATGTAGTCAAAGCCCAAAGAGAGAGAATACCTTTCCCTACTGTCTACCCAAATTGGGCTTATGGTGAGAAGGAGGGAAAAGGTACAGAGAAGCAGATATTATGTCCAAGCCAGCTTCTCCTTTCAGTCTAAGGCTTCCAGGCCTGGCTATACAGTTTCAAGAAGGGCCTATCTCCTTAATATATTAGTTAATAAAGAAATGCACAACAATTCAAGTCCTTGACTAGTAAGTCAGCTGTGCAGGGGTATTGCATCAGAAAGGCTTCCCCTGTGGGAACCTGTAAGACCACTAGTTTCAAAATCAGTGTTAGTTAAACCCCTGAATGCTGCCAGGAATAAAGGAAGACAGCCTGTCCAGAAAAAGACAGAGAAGAACCACTAAGGAGATCCTTACACCTATGGTTTACAGATAGCCACCAACAAGCAGAAAGTTGATCCTGGTCCATTAGGAAATAATATAGTAGAGACTAGAAGTGACTGCTTATCAATCTAAGATTTTTTGGAGGGAGACTGAAAAATCTCCCTGACTAAACTTCCCAGCATTCTTTCCTTCCTGCACCAACTAAGACACCAATGGGAAACAGTACAGGAGCATACAGACACATTTCCTAGTTTTGTATTCTAACAATCTGACTTGCAGTTCTTACTACAGCAGCAATGATCTGTGGAAGCAAGGCCACTTCCAACAGCCTTTCTTCTGTTCCCCAAATTTATTAGGTAAATTGGAGCACAAGCACCCTTAGAACCCACGAGAGCCCCAGGTCAGTCCCTTTTGTGTGGTGCAGAATGATTGAGAGCAGTCCAGCCAGCACCTCACATGGTTCTACGTAAGGATGGGCTGCACTTCCTCCTTTATGACATACACATGGCTCCCTGATTTCCCAATGCAGTTTCCAACCTTGTCCACCACTGCCCTGCCCCCACCTAATTTATTTCTCCTATATTTATGTGGTTTGCTTTTTGTTATTTTTGAGATGAACCTGTAAACGTGAGAGCTCAGGGATCTGAGGTACTTCACATAAACACACTCAAGTATCAGTCTTTCATTTTTGAAAACAAGAACACAGAGAAACAAGTCCCTCTTCCTCTCCCCTCAGAAATGTGTGCATCTTCCCACTAGGCTAACAGTGGCTACCTCTGCACCACATCACTGATTTCCTGTACACATGACAATAAGTTATTAAGGACAGGGTTTGCCCCGGGCACACCAGAAACTGCTGAAGACACTTGCAGTTCCTGCAGGCTGAGTTCCAGCTTGCTTACAGCCTCTCGAAAGGCAAATTTGTTGCGAGTTTGAGGGATGCAGTCCACATAGCCTGAGCAGTAGTCCAACAGCTGGTGTCCAGTGTCTACCAGTTGGCTATTGGGCACAGGTTCTGTGATTGCACTGGACAGTAGGTCAGCACATTCCAACAGGGCCTCTTTGCTGATTTTGTCTGCTGAGATTTTCTCAGTAGCCTGTTTCGTTTTTCTCAGAGCCACTTTAGTACCTGCTGTGCCATTGGCCATTTTGGCTGGCGAAATGGAAGATGTGGGCAGAGGCACTTGAGGTGGAGGCATCACTGGCCTCCCAAGTTTCCCACTGCTGGACACGGCCCCTGGAGCTGCCTTTTTTCCTCCCTCCTGTGTTTCTGAAGTGGGCTGTGCAGCAGTTGGGGCAGCTGGCTCTTCTACAGGGTCTGAGCATACGGATGGATGTTGTAGTAGTCTCATCACTGGAGGTGGGGGTGGGGCACACTTTGGTTTTACCCGTCGGGGTCGGTCCTTGTCTCCAGAGGATGTGACCTGATGCTCAGATAAGAGCTTGAATTTATTCCCCTGAGAGTCTGTGCCAATAAGCTGCACGTCAGCTGGAGTGTGTTTCAAAGTGGGTGAGATAAGGACTGGCACTTTGTGGTTGTGAGTGGTTGGGAGGACAGCCACAGCCTTGGCTGGAGAAGACCAGCCTGGCTGCTCTCCATCTTCTGGGACTCCAGCCATCCCCAGTCGTGCCCCACCATTCCTCTCCTTGCCCTTAGGAGCAGCTGCCACTCCAGGCACCCCCATCCCTGGAGAATCCTTCTCTGTAATGGCTGGATCCCCGGAGGGGGCTCTTGGAGGAACAGCTGTGGCTCCTCTGGGCAATAGTTTGGCTTTTGATCTCTCCCTGGCTGGAGCAGTACCATCCTCTGACTTTTTTGGAAGCATGTCATTGGCCCTGTCCACATTCTCTTCTGGCTGAGAAGAGGTGGACACTGTCCTTTCAAGCTGGAGTTTGGACCTCTGGCAGTTCCTGGGAAGGGTCATTGCCATCCTATCCTGCTCTGGAAGCCCTGAGGACATGGAAGATGTAGAGTTTGACCTTGGAAAAGGCTTGGAGGTGTCATCACTGGCTGTAGGCTTACCTGCTCGTAAGCCCAGTGTCTTTTTGATTAAGCGAGGTGTAAAGAAGCCTGTGATGCCAGACCACCCACCCCCAGCAGAACCACTGCCCCCACCTCCACTACCATCGTCATTACAGATATTCCTCTGTGCAAAGCTCCCCCCATAGCACTTGGGTGGCACCAGATTCGCCTCTTGCTGGGCAGGAGTGAAAGAGAACCCATCAGCATGCTGTAGAGAAGCAACAGATGAGAAGTTACCCGTGAGTTCATATTTCTTATGGGGCTGATTCTCCATTTCTCGAAAGGAGCTGCTGCGTTTAGGGGGTGTGGGAGCATTTCTCTTCTTCATGAAGGAGCTGAAGAAGCCTCCCTTCCTATCCCTGGTGAAGCATGTCTCTTTGGCATCTTCCAAGAGGCTGCTGGGTGACTTGTCTCTTTGCTTTCTAGGCAACGCTGGGGACCCACTGGACGCCTGTGCACTTCTAATGAACCCTGATGAGAAATAGTGCATTAATAATGTGAAAGACAAGAAATGAATCATTAGAGTGACTGGTCTGAATTATGAAAGTTTTATTTTATTTTACTGCAGAACTGGGAATTAAACCCAAGGCCTCATGCATGCAAAACAAGTGCTCTATGCAGCTCCCCCCATCCCCGGTAATTGTAAAAGTTTTTGCAGCATCTAACAAATGTCAGACGTCGGCATTACTCAGAGGCAATTTAAAAATACATTATCATATCATAGTGATTAGTGTTCCAAATGGGATATAGGTATAAATGGGAGGAAATAAACTGCTGGTTATTATCTCAGTATTAATTCTTTCTCTAAAAATGAATGCATCTGGCATTTCCTAGAGACTCAATGAAGGAGTTTTTGCCACAACTGAAAAAATGGTAACTATTTGAGAAAAGGGAGCATAGCAGAGCTCTATGTTCAACAGACAGACCTACCAGCAGTGGCAATGGAGGGCCAAAGACCAGAACAGTAGGAAAAACAGATGCCACACAGGCCTCAGGGAAGATGGGCATGAAATGGGCATAGCAGAATCAAACTCCAGGGTTCTTAAACAAGGCAGTTTCTATTCTATTCTACTTGCCTCAGGACCCTTACCTGGTGCTGAACTGGACGCAGGATTTTCCATGGCATCTTGTGCCCCTTCAATGTTCTCTTTGTTCTCCACCTGTTTCTTCAGGGTTCTCGTCTTGGAAGGAAGTATAGGTAATCGGGGCAGGTATGGAACAACAGACGATGAAGAGGCAGCTCTCCCAAGCTCCTCAGCTACCTCTGTGAAAAGACAAAAGGACTAATAAAAAACAATTTATGACAAAGAAAAGGAACTGTTTCTTTTCAAAAAGGCAAACTGAAAAAGAAATGGAGTAGAAAAGTGAAGTACATAAATGCGGCCAGGTGCAGTGCATGCGTAATCCCAGCTACTTAGAAGGCTGAGGATGGAGGAGCTTGAGTCTAGAAATTCAAGACTAGCCTGGGCAACTCAACAAGATGTCGCCTCAAAAGTAAACAAGTAAAACAAATAAAATAAAAGACAATAAAACATGGGTTGAAAAATGCTAAATTTCTTTTTTTCATCAATGTAGTAATTGAAATTGCCTTTTAAAACTGATTGGGGTTTGTATTCTATTCAAGAGAAGCAGAAATATTAAACTAAGGATTCAAGAGAAGTTAACAAAAAGTACCAATATGCACGACTTCTAGCACTTTGAGTTCACAGGAAATAGAGCTCATAGAGAACCAAGAGTACTGTGACAGGTAGCTACGCCTTCAGACCCCAAGGGCCAACATGCAGAAGTTCCATGTCACAAAGTGCAAGCATGAAAATATTTTTCATTAAGCTCTCTTTTCCTTTTTTCTTACCTGATGTGTAAATCAGTAGAGGAGCAGACCAAGATCAGTATGTCTGCCGGGCATGGTGGTGCATGCACACCCGTAATTCTAGCACTCAGGAGACAGAGAGAGGGGTCTGAAGCCAACTTGGGCTATACAGTAAGACCCTGCCTCAAAAAACCAAAATCAACTTGCCTGATTTCCTCTTCTAACGTTTTTAAAGTTGAACTCTGCTTAACTATGAAAGGAAAACAAATCTGAAAAATATGTATAAAATTGACAGTGTCTTAACAAATAAATAAAAACTAAGAATCCTGTAGTTTTAGCTCTCTAGGAATGGGCCTTCACTTCTTATAACAAAAGTAAGTTTAAGTTTATTGTTTGACTTTTTTTGGTTTTTTTTTTTCCAGTGTCTCTCTATGTAGCCAGGCTGGCCTTGAACTCCTGCTTCAGTCTCTTGAGTGCTGGGATTACAGGGGTGTACCATTATATCCAGGTGATTGTTTGACTTTGGCGTATATTTAAAAGGCATCATATACAAAAGGAACTTCTTATATATGTTCATACACTTGTTTTTTAAGGAAAAGTTTATCTCTGTTGATAGCCTAATCTACTTTTTCTCATATTCTATGCCAATATATTTAAGAATATAATTTTAAGTATTCAATTACATTAATTACTTTATTGACAGTCCACCAGATGTTTAAGTTGTTCTTATTTTTATTTTTTTTCGTGGTACTGGGGATTGAACCCAGGGCCTCAAACAAGTGTTCTTACCTCAAGGCACATGCCCGCCCGCCCCCTTTTGTTGTTTTGTATTGTTTTTGAAATAAGGTCTTACTAAATTTGCCCAGGCTTGTCTCAAACTTTATATCTTCCTATCTCCGGCTTCCAAGTATCTAAGATTAGAATTGTGCACCAACACACCCACTGTCAGTCTTTACAATGATAAGTATTATAAAACTACACTCTGATGCAATATCCTTGTAGCTAAATCTTGTTCATACTCTTACTTCCTTAAGGGACATATTTCCACAAATGGAATTTCTAGATACTGCTTTTATGATTTGGTTTTTGCTTTGGTAGATGTAGTTTAGAGAACTGAATTTTTTTTTTTTTCCCTTTTTTGATGTTACTGGGGTTTGAACTCAGGGTCTCATGCTTGCTGGGGAAGAATTCTACAACTTGAGCCTTGCCCCAGCACATTTTTGCTTTTAGTTATTTTTCAGGGAAGATCTTGCATTTTTGCCCAGGGTTGGCCTCAGACCAAAATCTCATATTTGGGAGACAGGTGTTGCACCACCATGCTTAGCTTGTTTGTTGAGTTAGAGTATTTTTAATGTGGCTCTGTGGTGCAGTGAAGAGTTGGGATATTTTTATACTTATTTTTCCTTCTCTGTACCATAAGTGTTGATAAAGAACTAAACTTACTAATTTGCCTCATGAAGAGACTAAACTAATTTTGAATTAGAATGTAATTTCAATATTAAATATGAGACAGAAAAATAAAACACAGTTAAAAAGTCCAAAAAGGCAACAAAATAATAAAGACTAAAAGTTTATCTTGAAACACAGTCATGAAGTATAAGAACTAACCATTTTTGAAATGTAATTATCATCACTATTGCCACCCAACTAGCCACCAGTAAATCCTCCAGATTCTTACCTTCAGAAATGCTAGAGTCATGGAACATAGTTTCAAAAGCTTGATGGGTTTCAGCAAAAGAGGGCCTGTCGGCAGGGCTCCACTTCCAGCCTATGTGACAGAAGATGAGAATATCAAAACCTCCTTGTCAGAATTATACAGTCAGCAGCATATCAGATAATGAAGTCCACTCATCACAACATGTGCTTATTAAAGTAAAGACACAGCATGTTCGCAGTGGTAGTAATGCAGCTGCTTCTTAGTTCCAGACTCAAAGGTGTAAGAGCCCATTTCCTAATAGAGGCACTTCTATTTATTCTGGGCTCCCATTCCCTCTACTAAAAGGATGAGGAGAGGTAGGATGAGGAGATGTGGGAAAGTAAGTTAGAACATGACAAGTTTTCTTCTAGTAAAAACGTGCAATAAGTAAAACCTGTCTTCAAACTCAGTCTAACTTATAAAAAATCAAGTATAGGGCTAGGGGTGTGGTAAAGTGCCTGCCTAGCAAGCATGAGGCCCTGAGTTCAAACCTCAGTACCACAAAAACAACCCTAAAACAAAGAAATGAACAAATCAAAAACCAAAAAGAATCAAGTATAAATATTCAGAAATATAACATCAGAAGGAAGCATAGTATTCACATTTGACAAAGGACAGTACAGAACACCAATGCTCAATGAGAAAATAATTTAAAGACTATGTTCAAGCACAGCTGCAATTTAATCCACTACTCACATTCCTACTTCTCATCTCAGTCAGATGCTTCTGTTTATTCATTGTAGAGGTTACTTTTATGCATTCTTATATAGTCTTTAGCAATCATTCTTACCTAGTAGAAAGCAGTCCTTCCCTAACTTAATCTGCAAATTCAATTTCTGATTATCTTATTAAAAATACAAATGTTTTTGAATCACGGGGGCAATATTTGGGCTACACAGCTATTGTTGAATTACAATATGGTTCAATGGTGTATCACACTGTGCCTGCAGGCAAATCAATGACAAACTCTTTAAATGTCACTCTAATAACACTGAGGGCTGAAATGTTTCCAATTTGTTAACTATTCTGAATTGCTGGTGTTTCAAAATTAAAATATGAAAAATACTCACATGCTCTCATAAGTTCATAAACCTTAGGGGGGCATCCTTCAGGTTGTTCCATGCGATATCCTTTTTCTAGTAGATCATAGACTTGAGACAGGTCAATACCTGGATATGGTGACATTCCATATGTAGCAATTTCCCACAATAGTACCCCAAAAGCTGCATGAAGGAATTTAAAAAAAAAAAAAAAGAAAGAAAAGCTAGTGTTTCTTCTGATTTATTATTTTCTTTATATCATTAACTTCTCTTTAAGTTTCTGGGTCAGAATCACACACAGTTTCAACAACATTAATATACCCTGTACTAATTCTTACAGCGTAACATCTTTTTTAAGATGTTTTTCACAAGAACATTGCAGAAAACTTCGACAGTTTTCTTTAAACTGCCCAACTTTTATTTAACTTTCCTTTACTACAATGAGGCATAAAAAACTATAATCATATAAAAAAATCTGTGGTATAATCCAACTATTCTTAGAATAGTCTTTGATTTATTTAATGAGCTTCATGATTTTTAAAGTCAGCTAATATCAGAGGATTAAAACAAAAACTGAGATATTTGAAATCAGATAAAATAGTAGGAAAAAATTTTTTCTTGTTTTTGTTAAGACTTTGATTACATCTGAGTTTGAGAATCCTAGTGGCCCACAATCCAAATTCCAGTCTCGTTCTACTTGTCCAGGCAGTAGAAATAAGGTCTGTGACAAAGACAAGTTCTAGCTGAAACCTTATCATGCCTTCCTTGAAAACAACATACTGTGCCACACAGCACTCTGGAAATGAGCACTAAAATCTAATGTGAAAAGTGGGGAGCTTTACAAAGCATTATTTAAACTCCGATGCAGTATGAGAGCTACACTTTGACTTTTCTCCCTTTCTTTTGGTGGTACTTTTGAACTAGGGCCTTGTGCTTGTTAGGCAGGTGCTCTACTACTTGGGCCATACCCCTAGCCCTTTTTGCTTTACTTATTTTTCAAGTAGGGTCTCACATTTCTGCCCAGGGCAACCTGGACCATGATCCTCTTATTTATGCTTCTTACACAGCTGGAATGACAGGCGCACCACCACCTTCTTGGTTGAGAAAGAATTTTGTTAATTTTTTTCTCCCAATCTCTGCCTCCTGGGTGGCTGGGATTTCAGGTGTGAGCCACAGTGCCTTGCTACCTATCATCCATCCATCTACCTACCTACCTACTTCTTCCCTTCCTCCCTGCCTCCCTCCCTTCCTTCCATCCTTCCTTTTTGATATAAGGTCTCATTATGTTGCCCTGGCTGGTCTCTAACTCATAGGCTCAAGTGATCTTCCTGCTTCAGCCGCCAAAGTAGCTGGAACTGTAGGTATGTGCTACTGTGCCCAGCGGTGGTACCTTTGTGTGTATGGGTGTGTGGCGCTGGAGACTGAACCCAGGGCGTTGCATATGCTAGGAAAGCACTCTACCACTGAGCTACATCCTTAGACCTTGTTTTTTTGGGGATAGGCTCTTGCTTCATGGCTCAGCCTGGAACGTGCAATTTTCCTGCCTTAGCCTCTCTCTCAATTGCTGGAATTACAGCTGTACAGTCACACCTAGCTCTTTTTTGGGAAGGGAGGTGGATTTCCTTTTTCAGCATCATATAAAAGAGAAGTTCTAAAGAATTAAGGTTATCTATAAGGAAAAGAAGTGACATATCCAGGAAAATGTCCCAACCTTACCCCAGACATCTGATTTAATTGAAAAGGTATTGTAGGCAAGACTCTCTGGTGCTGTCCACTTAATTGGAAATTTGGCTCCAGCATGTGCAGTATAGGTGTCTCCAGTCATCAGTCTACTTAAGCCAAAGTCAGCCACTTTTACCACATGGTTTTCTCCCACTAGGCAGTTACGTGCTGCAAGATCTCTGTGGGAAAGAGAACCCAAATGTGATTCTATTCAGATAGTGAGAAAAACGACCACAAAAGGCTCTATTCTTGGTTCTTTGTGCTATAAGCAGACTTAAGAAAAAAAAGTGCAACTGACAAATGTAGTAGTATTTGATGATAATCACTAACATGATAAAAGGCCACTAATTTATATTTTTTGCAGAATACTCATCAAGAGGCAGTCACATAATGCTAGAATACAGAGAGCTTTAGAGGTGAGAAATAGATGCTTTTCTACAAGACTTTAAATATTTTACTAAGATAGAACGCTATTTTTAAAATTCAGCCACTAGATGGAGCAAAAGGATCTTAGATATAGTGCTGTGCAAACTAGTGATAGCTTTCTGTTTTGATAGTAAAAGGCCTCTAATACTTTGAACAGAGCACAACAGGCTTACAAGTTGGAAAAGGCATTAAAATGGGTCCTGTGAAAGAGAACGACTTTCTTTAATCATCTGAAAATTTCTGAGAAAGTTTTTTTCCCTTTATCTTCATGTCAAGCAAGATGGCTTCATGGTTGGTCATGGGAAATGATTAGGTTTTACACACCTGTGGATGAAATTCTTCTTCTCTAAATACTCCATTGCAGAAGAGATCTGAGTGGCCATGTAAAGCAATACAACTGCAGTCACCTCTTCTCGGTTGCATTCTCGGAGGTAATCAAGCAGATTCCCATATGGCATGTATTCAGTCACAATGTAAAACGGTGGCTCCAAAGTACACACGCCTGGCATGAAGGATAAAGCTTGTTTTATTAATATAAATACAAGCATCCAAACCACTGTGGCCAAGAAAAATCTGACAATTTTTATGTCTATCTCGGCAGGAATCCTCTCCATTTTTACCACGTTTTCTGAAATTAATATAGGAAACATTAAGAAGTTGGTTGACAAGAGAATGAATCTTTGCTTTCATTATATTGTTCTACAGAAATTCATATGCCTTTAAGTATTTTCCTATTTAAGCAAAAAGCAGAGTTACTGAATTAATTTCATATGGTGTTAAAAAACCTAAACTTCTGTACATTCCACAATTCCCCTCCTCAACTGCAAGCTAACAATGCTCACCTAAAAGTAACTTATGCAAATGTTGAAGATTATGCAAGCTCTGCCTGTACTAATGCTTTGAAAAAAGAATTGTTTCATACTCAAGGATTTCATGGATATATGGCAGATTCCTTATTTTAAAAAGAAACAAGAAACCATTTCATTTTGCATAGTTTGACTCAATTTGAATATCCAAAGAAACTTGCCCAATTTTAAAAAGGGAAAAAGGTTTAGTCAAAAATTTCTTTGCAACTTGAACAGGTGAGAGGCCAACATTGCCAACTTGGGTAAGCTGATGAGTATGGTCACTCATGAACTTTGAATGTGGGGCAAACACAGCTGGACAGTTTTATTTGTGTGTGTTTGTGGTATTGGGGCTTGAACTCAGGGCCTACACCTCAAGCCCCTCTACCAGCCCTTTTTTGTGATGGTTGTTTTTGATAGGGTCTCATGAACTATTTGCTGGCTTCAAACTGCAATCTTCCTGATCTCTGTCTCCTGAGTAGCTAGGATTACAGGCATGAGCCACTGGTGCATGACTGGGCAATTTTATGTATTGAAATCAACCCAGGCCACTGTCTTTTGCTTTACATTAAAATGGTAACTTCTTTTTTTTTTTGTGGTGCTGGGGGATGGTTAACCTAAGGCCTATGCTTGCTAACAAAGTGCTTTATCTACCACTGAGCTACACCCCAACCCATGATAATGATTTATTGAATAGATTCACACCCAGAGTTTCCACCACAGTGATTCAAAAAAGGGATCTGAAGATAACAAGGGGCTCGGGGCTTCCTTACCTAAGAGTTGTACCAGATTAGGATGCTTGATTTCTTTCATCACTGCTGCTTCTTTTAAGAACTCCTCCACCTCCATGGTATCTTCCTGGAGAAAAAAAAAAAAAAAGGGAAAGGTTAGAAAGCGGGGGCGGGGGGGGGGAGAGGAGGCAGTCAAACTTCCACTTTAATCACTGAGTCTACTCACAATCCTACTTCACCTTGAAAGGTAAAAGGAAGTAGCTTTTGAATATTTTAACATAATCACTTTAAGAAATTTTATTACAACTTAATTAACATTCTACAAATAATATTCTTGAATTTATCCAATATTACAAAATGGAGTAAAACTTAGCAAAGTGAGAAAAATTCAACAATCATGTCTTATAATCAACCAAAACACAGGCAACTTTGGATAATTGTTTTCTGACAGGTTAGTTCTCTAGTGTCTAGGTAACACCATGAGTGAAGGGACAGAGCAGTTGGCTGTTTATGTTTTTATCTTCCTGACTGGACCATACACTTCTTAAGGAGCAATGCATGTATGCAAGCCTCACATTTTGTCTCACACACAGAATATACTTAATCAGAACTAATATTCACATCATAGCTGAGGAATAGTCAGGATAAGTGACATACCAGAGTCACAGAAACTCTGAGACAATCTTCAGAGAACTGAATGAGTGACAACTCTGTAATTTAATACTAGAATGCTTTAAGAAGAAATAGAATAGTATCAGGAAATAGACTTCTGTGAATTTAAGAAGAGTGATCTAGACAGGCGTGGGGATGCATGCCTTTAATCCCAGCACTCAGGAGGCTATAGCAGGAGGATCAGGAGTTCAAGGTTAGCCTGGGCTTTTAGTGAGACCCTGTCTTAAAAAAGAAGAGGAGGAGGAGAAGATGAGGAGATCTAATTCCATGGATATAGGAACAAGAGGCAGAGAGAACAGAGTAAGGGGCCTCAGGATTCTTAGATGATGCGTGAAGAATTCTATCCAGAATAAGTTGTCATCACAAAGCAAAGCAATCAACAAAATTTGCTTCTAAACTCTACATCAACACCCTCCAGAGACAAACCTTTCCCACATGTGGGCTTAGCTGCACTGCGGTGAATAATCTTCCTCTGCAGTGCCAGCAATGGCACTAGGGTTAATCACCACAATTTGCTGAAATGTTTGGCACCAGTGGGTGGACAGTGTTCCAAAGTTAAAGAAGGGCACAGTGATATTTCTAAGTGAGTCAGCACACATACAAAAAGATGCCTGAAAACTGTAATTCTCAGAAACCCACCTTCAACGTTTTCACGGCAACTGTAAGGCTGTATTTCTTCCAGACACCAACGTAAACCTCTCCATACTGACCACCCCCTAGTTTGTGCTTCATAGTAATATCTGTTCGTTCCATTTCCCATTTGTCATGGATGGGGGACACACCATAGACTGTTGGTTTATTACACTTGGGCGCGGGGTAGTGTAATGTTGTCACCAAACCATCAGCCACTGTGGAATGATGGTGAACAAGCTCTGCCAAGGTGCTAAAGCGGCTCTCAGCAGTCACATATACCTGGTGAGACAGGAGAAAAGCTGAACAACTTGAAATGAGATCAGGAATTGTTTTTCACAGACCTGGAGATATGAAGATAGGATATTATCTTAATTAGGTAAACAGAAAGTTAAATAATCATGGCAAGGAGAAACACAGAATTGCACTTTAATCTTATTTAAATCTACCTTCCTATTCTTCCTCTAAGTTTTTCCTTGGGGGAAACTTCTAACACACCTCTATGGGCCATTGAGCTCACTGGCCTTCATACAATTTCTAAGGAACAGATTAGAAAACCCCAAGGCGGGAGTGGTGGCACACTAGGGAAGGTGAGACAGGATGATTTGGAGTCTAAGGTCAGCCAGGCTATAAAGTGAGACCCTGCCTCAAAAACAAAAAAACAAACAAAAAACCCAAAATATTACAGAATACTACAAAATATTATAGAATCCAAATATATGAGACAGGTAAAAAGAGAGATGTTCTGATTGAAGTGGGCAAGCAGGGGCTGGCCTCCTGTAAAAGTTAATTATCAACTCAGAATCTTTCATAAAAAAAATGACAACCATTGATTTAGATTTTTGGAAGGTTAGAAGGGTATTATAATTTTTATTTAATCATCCCATAATTAGTTATCTTATACTTTTTATTTAATTATAATGTGCTTTTCAGCCAGATGCTGGTGGATCACTTCTGTAATCCTAGCTACTTGGGAGAGTGGGATAGAGATTTGACGCCAGTCCAGGTAGGGAGTTTGTGAGACCCCATCTCAACTAACAGCTGAGCACAGTGGTGTTTGCCTGTCATCCTCTCAGGAGGATGAGATTGGAAGGACTGCAGTTATAGGTCAGCTCAGGTGGGAACCCCCATCTCAGTAACAACAAAAAAGCTGGACATGGTGGTGCATGCTTGTCATCCCAGCTACTATAGGACGCAAAGCGTAAAAGAGGAAGACCATGGTCCAGGCCTGGCCAAAAAGTGGTACCTTATATTTAAAATAACCAGACCAAAAAGGGATAGGAGTAGCTCAAGTGGTAAAGCACCTGCCTAGCAAGCGCCAAAGCCTGAGCTCAAACCTCAGTACTGCCCTCCCCCCTCAAATTACAAATGTATTTTTGAATGTCTAGATCATTAAAAATAAGAGCCACAATTAGATATCAAAGAATTATTAACAAAATAGTCATTAATTTGTTATAAGCAGTAAGAAATATACAATAATACAGCTATCTTTACCCCAAGGGAAGTCAGCTAGCTAGCCAGTTCATTAGCTTGTGTGTTTGCTCTCCCCCTCCCTTCTTCTCTCTCCCCTCTATTTATGCATGCATGACTTGAATTCATTATCTTCTTATACAAATGTATACAATATATACAATAAATAATGTCTCCCATGTAAACATCACCCACACCAAGAATTTTAATACCACTAGCACCCCAGAAACCTCCCTAGCAAAGGTAATGACTTATGCTAACTTCTAACACTTGTATATAGTTCTGCCTCAACTATATACAAATGAAATCACACAGTATGTATTGTCTGGTGTCTGCTTTCTTTCACTAGGCTTTTTATTGCTACAATCTAATTTACCTATCACAAACTTACCACTCTAAGGTATAAAGTTCAGTAGTTTTTATATATTTATACAGTTGTCCAGTCATCACCAATATCTCACACTAGCATATTTTTATCATCCCCAAAAAAAACCGTTAGAAATCATTCCCATTTTCCGCCCCATCCCAGCCCTCTAGCAACCACTAATGAACATCCTTCAATCAACTTTATGTGTATGAGACTCATCTGTAGCAGAGGCTAGCAAACTTCTCTGGAAAGGGCTAGAAAACAGGTATTTTAGGCTTGTGGCCATAGATCTCTGTAGCAACTACTCAGGTCTGTCTAGTTACAGTTTACGTATTACACATAAACAAATGAATGTGACTGTATTCCAACACAAATGCATTTATTAAAGCAGGCCATAGGTTTTCCTATGATGCTGTATGTAGGACTCAATTCATTTCTGTTGTAAGATATTCCATCTTATGAATATACCATAATTTATTAATCCATTCTACTGTTGTTAGATAGTTGAGTGCTTCCAGTTTTTGACTACTGCAAATAATGTTGCTATGAACATTCCTATACATGTCTTTGGGCACACATGTGTACTCATTTCTGTTGGGTGTATGTTATGTTCTAGATATGAAAGTGTCCCCTACAATGCTCATGGGTTGAAGGGCTGGTCTCAGCTGGAGGATCTAATCATTGAGATATGATTAGATCATGAGGGCTCTGACCTACTCAGTGGATCCCACTGATGGATTCATAACCTGACGGCCTTCCCTAAAGGGTATGCACTGTCCCCAGATCCTTCCTCTGTCTCTCTCTGCTTCCTAGCAGCTTTGTTCCCCTCCATGTTCCCTGCCAATGATGTTCCGCCTCAGTACAGCCTAAAAGTAATAGAGCCAGCTGTCTGTGGCCTAAAACCTCTGAAACAATGAGCCAAAATAAATCCTTCTTCCTTGAAATTGTTTCTCTGTGGTATTTGTCACAGGAAAAAAAGAAAAAGCACAAACATAATAACTGGTGTGTTTCTTATGAATTATCTGGTTCTATTTGTTTGGGCCCCAAAACAATGTACTATATATGGCAGAGCAAAAAGAGAAAGAGAACTAGTAATTTACTTACTTCCTACTTTGTACCAACTTTTTATTTTTTTTTTTTGCAGTATTGGGACTTGAACTCAGAGCTTCATACTAGGTAGGCAGGTGTACTACTGCTTCAGCCATTCCCCCAGCCAAACTATTATGTTTTATAAAAATTGTTTTACTTAAATCTTACAATAATTCTATAAAATGGAAGTTGATAATAGGGAAAATGAGGCTTATGTAAGGTCAGAGAGTAATAAATTGTATAGTTACAAAGCAAACCTGTCTGCTTGCTCTACAGCCAATGCTCTCTCCCTACTACGCATATCATATGTTGGGGAAGAATGAAAAAATTTACTGTTCAACAGAAGAACTCCCATAAACTCAGGTTCTGTAATTTATAAAATATAACAGTTCCATTCTTACACATCTGTTCTAACATGGCTGGTCTTCCCGACATGCGAACTGCTAAGTGACTGAATGATGTACTTATATTAACATATAGTAATGACGGAAACAAGTTTCAGAAGTCTAAATTCTTACTCTGTGGACTTTCTAGTACAGATTATTTTTGTTTTAAAAGATATAGAATTATCTTATAAATTCTGTTCAATGTATTGGGTGTGTATTTTTGTGCACTGAAAATTAGAACACCTAATATATATATAGCAGTTCCCTTCATTCTTCACCTTCAAATCTAACTTATCCTTAAACTATTAATATATTATTTTAACTGATATATATTGTCAATTAAATATATCAATTAACATATTATCATTTTAACTGATAATATATTAATGCATCAGTTTGCACTGATGAATTAGTTTGAAAAGAGCAAGCTCTCTCTCTCTGACACGACAAATAGTCCAAACTGTGTCACAAAGTTAGAAAATATCTTATTTCATAAAAACTATTTTCTACTTAGGCACTCTGAGTACTGTTTTTATAGTGTAGCCAGTCCACACCTGGAGGTCGTTACTGGCCAGTCTTACCTTGCCATCTGTGGTGGTATTGATCCTGTAGTGATACACACGCCCCTCGTACCTGAGGGAGATGGATAGCTGCCCAGGGCTGCTCTCACTTTCTCGAACCAGGAAACTGCCGTTGATTAGGCTGCTGAGTAGGTACTCTGCTGCACTGCGTGACACGGGTCCATGGTACCAGGAATGTTTTTCTAAGCTGTTCACTGGGGTGATGTAGTTACTTGGCACCCAGCCCTGTCCATTCTTAGAACGAACTTCACTCCACTCGCCATTTTGGTTGTAACCAAGGACTCGCAGCTTTTCACCTAGCCATCAGGTTATCACAGAATGAAGAATGTTAAAAGACGACTTCAAACTGAAGCAGTATATTGTCAAACTTTGAACTCAATGAAAAGTGAGCCAAGACCTTTGTCAAACTTAAATTTTTTTTATTATACTTTGAATTAGTATACATTATTAATACGTGGGGTTTCATTGTGCTAATTTCACACATATGCATAGTGTACTTTGAACAAGTTCACCCCCTCCATTATATTCCCACTCTCCTTGCCTTTTTATACAGTTTTATACCATCCCCTGCCCTTTTATATAATGTTTTGGTAAGTTTCATTATGCTGTCTTCAAACATATATATGTAGTGTATTTTGGTTCTTTCCCCCTTCAGCCTCCTTTCCTTTCCATCCCCCTCCAACAATGATCCCCCTTCAGACCACCTCCTTTCACATTCATAACCCCATCATCACCATCACCACCAGCATCATCATCATCATTTTAGGTCTAGGTTCTACAAATGAGAGAAAACATGCAATATTTGGCTGAGCTTAGCTTATCTCACTCAACATGATGATATCCAGTTCCACCTATTTTCTGAGAAATGATGTAATTCCATTTTCTTTATGGCTGAGTAATATTCTGTGCAGTTTTTTTTTAAAAAACAAGAACAAAGTTGTTTGCTTACCATGTCCTCATCTCTTCAGTTTGTAGCATAAACCACAGGAGCATAGTAAAAAATGGTTTTTCTGTCATTTACTACTATAGGTTTAATTTTCCTTTCTTTCTTTTTATTTTCTGAGACAGGGACTTGCTATGTAGCCTTAGCTGATCTGGAACTTGCTATGTAACCCAGGCTTGTCGACCTCACAGCTTTCCTGCCTTAGTCTCCCAAGTGCTGGCTACTACAGATCTTTAAAGGATTTTATACCACCTAAAAATTGTCCTCAAGAAGCTGTTATGATGCCATACAAAGACAGAAACGTGGCTGTAAGAGTACTTGCCTACCAAGCATGAGGACAAGTTCAAACCCCAGTATTAGAAGGAAAAAAGGAAGGAGGGAGAGAGGGAGGGAGGAAGGAAGGGTAAGTAGGTTACTAAATCACTAGAAAATGACAGTGCTCAAACTTCAAAAGAAAACAGCCTATAAACAGGGCTGAGAGTGTGGCTCAAGTCCTGGAGCACTTGCTTAGCAATCAAAGTCCTAAATTCAACCCAATACAGAAAAAAAAAAAAGATTAAAAAACATATATGGTTCACTGTTAATGATAATCAAAGATTAGGGACAATACATGTGAAACAGAGTGACTTTTAACTTTGACTTGGCAAAAAGCCATCAATGTAAGCAAACAAATGAGTAAAAAAAGACCAAAGAGTCTTCAGCAAGCAAACTGTTTAGAGGAGCAGGAAGTGGGCAGCAAGGACTCCCAAGCACACGTTTCCAGGACTCAAGGTTTAAAAGCTTTAGTTTCCCAACTTCCCTCCTATTCCCCAGAATGAATGAATCACTCTTGTCCATTCCTCTAAAATTAGTGTGGAAACGGAAGCTGACTCTGAAGTTCGAACCCGTAATCCTATTCAGTCTGTCTTTGCCATCAACATCAGTGTCCCTGATTTCTCTAGTATTCAAGTTTAGACTTCAATATACATTTTGTCCCTTTTCTTCTTTGGCAAAACAGGGAAGGTGAAAGAGGTATCATTAGTAAACGTAAACGCTAGTCTAAAGAATCCTTGTAGTACCTTAGGCTCCTATCTTTAAGAGACACAGTCTTCCTATAGAGTTCACATCTACTTCCTTAGTGCCAGAGAGCAGAAAAAACAAACCAACCAAAAGTACAAGCCCAGAACTTACTGGACAAAGGCTACTGAGGAAAAACTAAAACATAATTATTCTGACAGCCATCAATCTTTTTCTAGTGGCCTACAGAAATGTTTACCATAGAACAGCTTTCTATTAACCCTACTATCTCAAGACCCCTGAATATGGGAAAGCACACACAGATGCACTTCCACACATAGTGTATGTAATATATACTGTACGCAGAGTACACAATAGATAGGAGTGTCTGGTGTGGTGGTGGATATGCACAAGTGTGCAGATATATACTAGCACACTGTATGTACAGAAAACAGAATCTCGTTGGAAAAAAACTTTGTTGCTCTGTAGGTTTTCTTCATTAGGCCACAAGAACTAGAAGTAAAGACTAAGCTGCATAAGTGTGCTTTTATTTTTTCTTCCTTAAACAGAACTGGTAACTATGGGCCATCAGAACTGGGATAGAGTGCAACACCCTAGGTCTTTGCTTGTTTTCTTCTTTTTTGGCAGTGAGGAGACTTTTCTACTCTGGAAGTTTTGGGGTTTTTATTTTTCCGGATGTGGGGGGAGGTACTAAGGTTTGGTCACAGGGCCTCACAATTGCTGGTAAGTGCTCTACCACTTGAACCACTCCACCAGCCCTCTATACTAGAAGTTCTGACTACTATGGAAATTGATATGGAAATGACTAGCAGAAAACATTGATCTACCACTTGATCCAGCAATACCACTCTTGGGGATATACCCAAAAGACTGTGTCACAGGTTACTCCAGAGGCCCTGGCACACCCATGTTTATTGTAGCACTATTCACAATAGCCAAGTTATGGAAACAGCCAAGATGCCCCACTACTGACGAATGGATAAAGAAAATGTGGTATCTATACACAATGGAATTTTATGCAGCCATGAAGAAGAATGAAATATTATCATTTGCTGGTAAATGGATGGAACTGGAGAACAACATTCTGAGTGAGGTAAGCCTGGCCCAAAAGACCAAAAATCGTATGTTCTCCCTCATATGTGGACATTAGATCAAGGGCAAACACAACAAGGTGACTGAACTTTGATCACAAGATAAAAGCGAGAGCATACAAGGGAGATATGAGGATAGGTAAGACACCTAAAAAATTAGTTAGCATTTGTTGCCCTCAACGCAGAGAAACTAAAGCAGAGACCAACTCCTGTTGTTGAGACCAACAGGAGAAGGGGACCAGGAACTAGACAAAAGGTTAGATCAAGAAGAATTAACCTAGAAGGTAACACACATGCACAGGAAATCAATGTGAGTCAACTCCCTGTATAGCTATCCTTATCTCAACTAGCAAAAACCCTTGTTCCTTCCTATTATTGCTTACACTCTGTCTTCAACAAAATTAGAGATAAGGGCAAAATAGTTTCTGCTGGGTATTGAGGGGGTGGGGGGGAGTAGGAGGGGGCGGAGTGGGTGGTAAGGGAGGGGGTGGGGGCAGGGGGGAGAAATGACCCAAGCATTGTATGCACATACGAATAATTAAAAAAAAAAAAAGAAATGACTAGCAGAGATGAAAATATTTAATAGGTGCTTTCTTCAATAGAGGAATCCTAGAAAAAACTTTCTTCTGGTTATTGTGTTTTGTTTTGTTTTTTTTGGCAGTACTAGGGTTTAAACTCAGAGTCCTGTGCTTGCTAGGCAAGTGCTCTGCCATTTGAGCCACACCTCCAGCCCTCTTTGCTTTTAGGTTATGTTTTAGATAGGGTCTCATATTCTCGCTTGTAACTGGCCTAGACTACAGTCCACCAACCTATAGTCTCCCATGGAGCTGGCACCACAGCACATGCCACTGTGCCCAGCTGATTGGTTGAGATGGGTCTCGCTAACTTTTTGTCTAGGCTGGCCATGATCCTCCTGATCTTTGCCTCCTAGGCAGCGAGGATTATAGGCAATGCACCACCATGTCTGGCTGATATGGGGTTTTGAAGGCTGGCATCAAATTCCTGGGCTCCTGCCTCAGCCTTCCAGTGGCTGGGACTATAGACATAGTCCTGCAAAACTTTTCTTTTTTAATTCAAGCAAAACATCATCTTCAAAGAAGGAATTAAAAATTTTTCTTTGTAAAATATATTTCATATTTTAAAATAATAAAATAGCTTTATCATGGCGTCATCTTATATTAATAAGAACCTAATATAAAAGCCTGGAATTTCAGGGTTTTTTAAGAGAAACCACTGTCGGTCATGATGATAAAGGGAATTCCAGTCCTTGAGCAATACACTAGTATTAGTGCTTTTACAAGTGCTAACTGAAAAATTTAATAGACTACCGGTGTTTCCTTGGTGACTGAGCTGTCTTAGAAAATACTGAGAACAAAATTATATCTAGGAAAGAATGCTCTGAGTCATTGTTTTGTAAATTATTCTACTGAAGTATCAGTAAAGGTAAAGTAAAGTGCACTGTTGTCCAAGGAGACTGTCACATGGCAGAACATTTCTTTGAAGTTCTTTGTTGTACCCTCTAACTTTATGTAAAATTTTCCTTCAACTGCATAAACACCCTCCTCCTCCACATGCACCTATCATCACCATTCTGCCCCCAATATTACCCAAAATCTTTAAGTAAGGATGACACTAGGAGATAATGCACTTTTACTTTTCCGATGTCTTTGAAAACTCCTGGCACATGCAAATGTGCAGTCGTACCCACTCTGGAGCATATCTATACCTCAGTCTGAGAAACTAACTTTTAAGACTTCCTGCTATTCGATGTTAAAAATTGAGTATAGTGGCTAGGGATGCAGCTCAACAGTAGAGCTTTTGCCTAGCATGTGAGGCTCCAGGTTTGATTCCCAGCAGCACACACAAAAACACACACAAAAATGATGCATATAAAAATTTTATATAAGACTAACACTTCTCCAGTGGAAAAGGCCTGTCTTCTTGATTTGGTACAAGCACTCCCATTTAATACCTCATTCTGAACCTTACAGACAAAAGGCACCTGTTTGGCAATAATTTAAGTTATAATTTCATAGTTAAAAATTATCCTGAAATACACTTTTTTCCCTGTGGAAGGCTTTGCAGATTTAAAAGGTAAGACTAGTCATCTAATTCATGTGCACGCTGAGAATGTCCTCATCCTTTTATTCTTCAACAGATTTTCACTATTTTAATCCTTGTTCAAAAAATAAATTAAAAGATGATTCTACCTGGTAATGTTCTTAGTGGTCCCTTTTATGAAAGTTTGCCCCTGAAGCCAGGCACAGTGGCTCACACCTGTAATCCTAGCTACTTGGGAGGTGGAGACCAGGAGGATCAAGGTTCAAAACCAGCATGGGCAAGACCCCATCCCAACTGATAAAAAAAAAAAGAAAAAGCTGGGTATGGTGGTGTGCACCTGCCATCCCCGTCAAGTGAGAAGGAGGATTATTGTGGTCCAGCCCAGCTGGACATAATAAATGTGAGCCCCTATTTAAAAGTAACTAAAGCCAAAAGGGCTGGGGGTGTGGCACAAGGGTAGACCAAATGCCTAGTAAGCATAAGGCCCTGAGTTCAAACCCAGTAATGTCAATTTTTTTTCCTCACTGAAATAACTACTACTCTCTTGAGAATATTACTACAATACAAATTCTTCCTAGTATTCCTTTTACTAACCCATTAAAACACAATGGGGTAGATATTTAAGTTGTCAAAAGGTAGTACACAACAAAGTAAGAACCTTGTGTCAGAATGTAAACTCTGGACTACTGTCTTTATGCAGGTAGTCTTGCTCCAAAAATGAAAATATTGGCTACACGAAACAGTAATGTGCTTAATGATATAGTTAGTTTACATTTTGGGTTCAAATTTTTAATCTCACTGTGGACTGTTAACAGTTCTCAGAGAGGCAGTCAACTTATACACAACCCTTCTGAGTAGTATGGAGTCTGGTGGTATAAGTCATTTTTTGTCACAATTCAATTAAAATAGCATGTTAAGTCTTACCTTTGTGGTAGACAAATACTAGCATATTTCATACAGTACAATATGGACATTTTTTAAAGTGCTTTCATTTATTTTATCCTACATTTTAGGGCAGTATCTCATCCACAGATGAAAAGAGAATGAACCAAAAGTACCTGGGCATAGGCCATTCATTTCTTAATTACTAATGCAAACTGGAAAGTGAGAGGACGCTACATAGAAGCCTCACCTTTAGTGATGCTGAGAGTGTTATCACCACTTGCTACAAAATCATAAAGTGCAACGAAGAGATTAGGGTCACTCTCAGTGGCTCCAAGCAAGTTTTCCTTGGAGCTCCATCTGATAGCTTCATTCAGTGCCTGGGATTCAACATCACAACCATAGGGGCGGTGCAAAGCTTCTGAAAGACACAAAAAGGAAAAGCCATTCACAATGAGTCTAACAGCCGAAAATTCATTTGAGTTCAGCATATACACAGTATTTCAGCTACAGGCTTACACTGACAACTCCAGAACTGTAGAGTTTACTGAGTCATAAAGAATCAGTGAATATGTACTGTATCAGCTAAACCTGAGGCAGTAATTTACTTGCTGAAGATATAACAAGGTAGTCAGAGAAAAGACCACAAAACGAGAGTTTAGCTCTGATTTACATGCACTCACCAAAATCAAGCCTAAATGAGTAGCAAAGGCACAATTTTCTCAAAGTAAAAAACAGAATTAAGAACTGGCTACTAGCGTTATAAAACATAGGCTATTTCATTGTGGTAATGACTTTGAATTAAAAATGGTAATGTTTAGTAAGTCCTCATAAACTACTTCCCTTACTCTCTCTATATAAAACATTATAGAAAAAAGTTTTTCATAAATATATAAGTATTGTATAAATCCAGACCCTTTATTGTACATATACATATAAATTAATATAAATAGTGCTTCTAGCAAAACTAAAATTATCTGCTAAACAAAAGAAGCCATTTTTGGGTTTAATACAAAATATTCTTGACATTCCAAAGAACTTTTTTACATCATAACTTATAACTGTTCATTTTTAAAATAACTTTCTTTTCCTAAGCAGATTTTTGAAAAATAGCATAATTTAATCAAAAGTTCTAGAAAATTACCACATGAGTATTTTGAGTTTCTATCATAGCTGAAGTCTTATAATACCTGTTTCTTCCTCAAGGCTTTACAGTTCCTAAAACCTATTTACACTATAAATAGTGACCCTTGTGCCACCTTACTTAAAAGATACACAAAAAAATACACTGCTGTTCCAGTAGTGGTTTCTTCTGCCAAGGCAAAACTACCACCTATGTCTCTCTCTACGCATTTTTATATTTTAAAATGGTTTTTATCATATTTAAAAGGAAAAAAAACCCTTGAATCTGTGGTTGGTTTGTTTCAGCCCATTCCTTTTTCTCCATCTTTACGTGCAGTGCTGTGGTTCAGATTCCCAGCAGCTCTCACCTGGACTACCGCCTCCAGTCTTGTCTCCCTAACAATCCATCCTCCACACAGCTGGCAAAGTGATCTATGTAAGACAAAAATTTGATGATGTCACTTTTGTTAAGCCCATTATAGCTGGAATATGTTTCCCATCCTACTTTTCTTTGGGCTGGCTGACTTCTCCTTACAACACTCTATACAATCTATCATCTCCCTGGGAAACCTCACTGCCTCCTCTCTGTTGAATTAATTAAATTTTGTTTGCATTAAGAATACAATGACGAGGCAGGTTGTGTGTTCATGACTTTATCCCTGCTACCTGGCAGGTGAAGATTGGAGGTCACAGTTCAAGGCCAGCACAGGTAAATAGAGACCCCACTCAACAAAAAAGCTGGGTATGGCAGTTCATACCTATAATCCTACTACACAGGAGCTTAAGTAGAGATCACATTCTGAGGCAGGCCCTGGGCAAAAGTGTGAGACCCAAATGAAAATAATTAAAGCAAAAAAAGAAACTGGGGAGTGTGGCTCAACTGGTAGACTGCCTGCTTAGGAAGCATGAGGCCCAAGTGCCACATAAGCCAAATATTTATTATAAAACTTAAAGATTTGTGTCCTATGCACAAAATATTTAAGCAGATACCTGGTCTTTGTTTAAGCACAGATTATAAGAATACAGTACAAGACATCCAACTTAGGATAACCAAATTAAGAGAACATTATTAATTAAGAAACATTCTTGAAATTGGTCACATGACTGTATTTCTTTATTCTAATGAAAAGATTATCTATTCCGGCAGAATTCTACTGTGTGCTACAAATGCCAGTCCTTTATTGAAGTCAAAATAATTGCCAAAACAAGAATACCAAAACCACTCACATTTGTCAGGGTCCGTACTGACACCCGTAGATGCACACTGATAAGCTTTGTCAATGACACATTACCATGTTTTTAATTATTACTCTAATGATATTAAATAGTTTTAATTACATTTCATTGTTTTAGATAGGACAAAATCCCCCTTATCTGAAATTGTACGAGAAGAAGCAATGTTAACTCAGAAGAACTTTGTTCTGTCAATGACCAAAGTAGAGACACTGCAGACTAGGAGACACCGAAAGCCAACTTAAACCTTCTGGGACAAAAAACAAACACCATACGTTTACACCTTACTTTGTGAAGGCCCAGTATGAAAATGTACGATTTACAAAACTAATAATGGAGCCAAAATCTACTCTGCTAGGTAGGGCGTTGTATGGGTCAGAACATAAAGCTAGAATTACTAACAACACTATGAACTACTGTGCAACCTCTACCCCAAATCTGTAATTGCCCAGTGTTCCCCACCTCAGTTAATGCTATAATCCCATCTTTCAAGTACTGAGGCCAAAAAACTTTTAAGTCACTTGTGCTCTTACATACCAATCCAAGCCACACAGAGCTTCTACTGTCACTCCTTCCAAATATCCAAATCTACCCATCTCTCACCCTTTCCACTACCATCAACCTATTCAGCATAACCCACCTACACTGTAAGAGGCTACTGACCTCCAGGCTTCTACACATGGCTCCCTGCTGCTATTCTCAACATGCTGTCATCTTTAAGTGCAATTCAGACTGTGTTATGTCTCAGTTAAGACTTTAATGGCTTCCCAAGTTACAGCAAAAGCCCAACTCCTTAAAGGGCCTAAAAAGCCCTTCACAATTCACTTGCCCATTCATTTCCTAAACTCTTTCCTTACTTGCCTCATTCTGACCACTAGTTTTTCCTGCTGGGTGTTTGAACATAAAAGGCAGATTCCTGCCTCAGCACTTTCCAACTGGCTTTTCCTTCTGCCTAAAACACCTGTCCCCAGACATCTCACTCCCATGTTTCCCTTACCCTCCCAGTATGACATTTTCTGACAATTCTATTTAAAAGTACATCTATTCCTAACACTCTTCACATCCCTAGGTTTCCTTTCCTGATTTATTTTTTGCCACAGCTCTTGTTACCACCAGATATACAATTACTTATTATATCCATACATATTACCTAACTCTCCAATAAAAACATAGGTTTAAGGACAGAAATTTTGTTTTATCAATGAATAGTGAGCCTAAATCAGTGCTTAAAAAAGAGGTTAAAAATATTTGTTGAATGAATAAATCATGAGGTCTGCCATATTCATAAAGGAGCTACAGGGACAGAATATAAAACAAACTCTGAGCTAGCAGCTCAGACTGTAAATTGGATAAGTACTTAAACAGATAACAGACTTCGATACTGATGACTGTCAATGTGCAAAGACACGTCTATAAAATGTGCACATACATTCTGGAGGAATTCCAAGTCCAAAGGAGAACTATTAAAGGCAAGTCAGCTCCTAAAAGCCCTAATATTTGACAAAAAGAAGAAAACAGAACAAGACCCAAAGCAACAATTTTATGTTAATTTAAAGATATTCAGACCAGACAATACTTATTCCTCAAACATTAAAAAAGAATATAGTATAAAGTCATTGTTGAGAAATAACTAAGATAATCACAACTTGAAAAAAATCTTCTCGATCCTATCCTTCTTCCTATCTTTGGTTTTGGGTCCTTTTTTGAATCAAAAGATCTTCCTTCCTTCTTTCCTTCCCGCTGAACTCTCTTGTTCCCATAGAAACGAGGGTCATTTTCCTGTCCCAATCTGTCTGCACAGGGATATCCACTGAAAACGCCATCCTACCCCACTAAAGTTACACAAACAAGAAAAACATTCGAAAATTTCTCTAAGGCCAAGAATGTATTACTGGCTCATAAAAAAGTTTAAAGAACTAAATGGACGAGAACAGCCGAGGAATAAAGGAAAATCTAAAACAAAACAAAAGCCCGCAGAAGAGCAGTCAAGTCACAGTGGCTAAGCAGAGAGTCTATCTATCTACTTTCTTCATCATTAGACAGACACTCTGGGATGATTCAGATGTATCGTGCCGCCTCAATTGAGTGTGTAGCTGGGAAGTTTATTTTTGAACAACTGTTAAAGTGACTGCTGTTATATAGGTTAAACAATTTTAAGTAACCCCTGCTACTCAGGTAGGTCATGAACTTCAGAGGAGACCAGAGAAAGAACCTGCATTATTACCTGTATGTGTGGAAAGGACTCTGCAGCAGAAACACTTTTGACAAACCAAGAAAAGGTAAACTGTTCTTTTTTTTTCTGATAGCTTTGCAGCGAGTACAACAAAAATTAAAGCAAACAGCAAGTAATAGCTTGTTCGAACAAAGTATCATTAATAACGTTAAAAATCCAGAATAAACTAAAACTCATTATTCAGAGGTATTCGGAAATGAACATGCCTAATTTATTCAAAACACCTCACCAGTTCATCAGTTCAGTTAAGTTTATCAGTTAACAGTTAAAAAATCTCATAGTAACTGGAGAATTAAATATAGTATTTTTAGTCTAGGGCGATGTTTAGTATTTTATAACACATCAAAATTCTATTTATTTGACTGAATTCTTAAGACTTATTTGATTACATAATTTTAAAATACCCTTTTAAAAACTATGTTAGTGAGGAAATTATAGTAGTTTCAATATAGGCTTAAAAGCTCTTCAATTAAGAAATTGTATATTAAATCACATATTATTAATATATCTTTATTAAGTATTATTAAAGATCATATGAACTACCGAAAAATACCTAACCTCTTCAGTGACCAAGTAATGAAGATCTAACAGCGTTAAGTGAAATTTTCTCTTATCTCCATATGGTGGTTATCCACCCTCTACAGTTAGTCTCTGATTCTACCTGTCAGGTCGGGTGTGCAATTCTGAAGGTCTCACTACACAGGCCAGCAAGGCAGGTGGTCCTGATCTCTGCCATAACTACGGGTTTAAGATTTAGAACTGTGCCCAGGACCATATTTCTGCCACAAGCACAAAAAATTAAACTGTTTAGTAAAGAGGAAGTCTTAGAATTCCACTCTCTGACAAAGCAATTACCACATGCTTGTGACATTTACCATTACTCAGGCCTAGATGGGAACCAATAAAAGGGCAAGCATTTGCAAAAGCAGGGTTGGTGGAGGGTAGAAGAAACCTAAAAGGAAAATCTAGAACAGCAATCTGATCAGAATGAGGTTCTTCAAACACTCTGGGATATTTTAAAAATATGTAAACAGAAATTAAAACTACCACAGGCTATTTCATTCACACACATAGTATCAAATAGCTTAATAATAAATAAGGATCGAGTACATACAGGAAGGTTTTCATTCCTAAGGAGGTGATACGGTAAGACTGTAGAGAAAACAGGAGAAAAACCTTTTACAATAAAACACACTCTCTGACAAGCAATACCAACATGCTTGTGACATTTACTCATGTACTCAGTGCCTAGAGGGAACCAATTAAAACGGCAAGCATTTGCAAAAGGCAGGGGTTGGGGTGGGTGGAGGGTAGAGAGAGAAACCTAAAGGAACACTCTTAGTAACCAGCAAGTCTGAGTCAGAATGGAGTTTCTTCAAACACTCTGGGATATTTTAAACATATGTAAACAAAATAAAACTACACAGGCTATTCATTCACACACATAAGTATCAAATAGCTTAATAATACAACTAAGGATCAGTACATACAGGAAGGTTTTCATTCCTAAGGAGGTGATACGGTAAGACTGTAGAGAAACAGGAGAAAACCTGTTTACAATAAAACACAAAGCATATTTTTAAAAGACTGGAACGCCTAATAAGACTCATCTTTTACATCACTCAAGTTAGCTGAAGAAACCACATATCCAAAGTCAAAGAAACAGTTACAATGTGATTCAAAAACACAGCCCAGAAACCAGGAAATAACTTCTGCTTTCACTAACATTCTAGTTTAATACAGATTAAAAACATGGCACGATGATGTTCAAAACTTTTCTGTTGTTTGGTTTGTTGTTGTTGTTTTGGTGTTTTAGGGCAGTGTCTCAACTATGGAACCTAGGCTGGCCTTGAATTCCCAAATGCTGGAATTATAGGCATGACCCCTCCCCCACCTCTGGGGGCTGAAAACTTTTGAGTATTAAAAGTTTTAAGAACTTGTGGGACTGGGCACTGTGGCTCACAAC